TATGAATTCCGGATTTGTTTTCATTCACAACTCAGAGTCGCCGCCTCGAGTAAGATTCTTGTGTGATATCTACAGGCCCTATCTGGTCCCATTTCACTTTGATTACCCTGTCAAACAAATCAGCCTTCGCCCCTGGGTGCCAGCATCTGAACAAATCAATCAAGATTAAATTTATCTCACCCCTTCTCTGTTCGGTTTTGAGCCTATTGTATATATAATAATACGTGTATTATAACTTTCCGACTTCACATTTCAATTTCAGTCCGTATACTAGTAGCCTTTTTCCTTTATGGTACATTTAACAGCAACTCAGTTGCTTGGGAATGTGGTTTTTAGCCATACGCTTCACACACAATTGAAACTTAAAATAAAACTATGAAACCTGAACAATATATAGACAAATTCAGTGCCTTCCCACCCTCACCCTTCATCCCCAACCTCATGTAAAGTGCCCCGTACAGGCTTAAATTTGTTAGCTGGTTTGATCAAATATGTTTGACACTAATTTTGTTTGATAGTTTTTCGATCGTGTATGGCCGTATTTGATGGTCAAATAATTTGATGTCAAATATTAGACAGATCTGTTTTCCGTTGATATTTTTTTGTCAAACCATCAAATTATTAATTGATGGTGTGTTGGCTTCATCAACTTTATTTGTACAAACATCATTTTTTCAGTTGCTGAAGGATAGAAAAGATTTAGCCTACTTTTTACATCATCATGGCCCTATCAAACGATGAAAAAAAAAGTATATTTTGGAGCTGATTGAAGGGTACCTGAGTTTGCCTGAACTACGGAAAGTTAAAAGTAAAGAATATATAGATTCTTGATCTAGTGACCGCGATAAAAAAAGAAGCTGCCTATGACGCTCAGCTGCTGAAATACAGGGAGTGGTACGCAGATGCCACAAAAGAAGAAATGGAAAAGAAAATTAACTTTCGTTTTTGTTTTTCTTCGCAAGGCTAAAGCAAGAGCCAACGCTGTTGGTCAGCCCAATACAAACTTTTGGCACAAACTAATGTTTGACAAAAACATTTAATCGTATAGGGTACACGTCAAAATGAAAAAAAATTTGAGTCTTTACGGGGCGCTAAACACTAGCCTACGTCGTGTGAAAGCTTGAAAAATACGCTCACACACTCTTCCTCCGGTCCTTGTGTTCTCCCTCTCTCTGTGTGTTCTTTCCCCCTCCCCCCTCTCTCACACACACAAGCTGATTGTTTACGCAAGGACAAGCGTCTTTATAAAACTAATAGATATCTATATATTATCATAAACAACCTTTGAGGCCTAGTTTAGTTTCTAGGCGCTAAAAAGCAAACAACTCATTTTTCTTTCAACTTTTAATCCTAGTTCTGACAGGACGGATTGTGCAGTAGGCTTATCGTCTCGTTACTGTATTGATCGGGTTCGGGGGTTCGAGGCTCAGCTCGGTCCGACGGAAAGGCACTTTACAAGAACTTCCCACTTGGCTCGGTCCTATCGGAGACGGACTTTAAACTAGGAGGTCCCGCCCCTTATATAACCTAATAGTGTTGATAGGGGCGTTAAACCCATACCGATGTATTGATCTTTTTTTTTTTGCGCTGTACGCAGGCATTACTTAAAAATTATAATGTGAGCTGAAGCGAGATATTATTATTAATTTTCAAAAACACCCAACACCGACGACGTGTCTAACCGGAAATGGAAGCTTTCAGTTCCTGTTCCTACACAATAAAAAGTAGGAGGGAGGGTGCAAGAGAAATAATGTAAACACATCAGTCCAAGACACCAAGACCAAACAATAATGGCACAGTTAGATATAGCTTGTGTGAAGGCGAACTTATTTTCCTGAGCAGCTAAGGCTCACAGTTTGCAGGAAATATAGCGACAAAGAAGGCTAGGGGAATTGGACAAGAATGGAGCACAGTACTGCTCATGATCAAAATGTAGAGCCAGACGCCGATAAATTCCCCGCGACAGGCGCGTCTTCTTCTGTCGTGGAGGATCCTCCTAACGATGTCGAATCTTCCGGCGATGACTTTAACTTTAGAAAAAATGATAATGACGACAATGAAGAAGCTATGGAGAGAAAACGACGAGATGTATCGCAACATCCGGGAGAAAGCTCATCAAATGGAACGAATTTGGGGCTGCCAAGAATGAAGCTTGATATCGCAGATTTGATTAGAACTGACATTTATTGCTGTGATTTATTGTGGTGTCTTTTTGTTTCAGCTGCTAGAAGTTATAGGTTCAGTTCAGTTTTACGACCATTCCCACCAATGTACCAAGAGGGTGATAACAAAAACATGTTTGCATTGGTAAGTTCTAAAATCTAGATCTAGAATCTAGACCTAGCCTGTACGTTTCGTTCACTTAATTTTAATGATGAAATTTTTTAAAAAATTTTAAACATGAAGTATGATAGCAAAGCTATAGAATCTAGATTCTAGATCTAGATCTAGATCTAGAGATCTAATCTAGATCTAGATCTATGCAGTGGAACTCGGATTCAACGAGGTCGCCGGGCCTTACCTAAAATCTTGTTGAATCTGAGTGTTCGTTATAGCCATAGCAAACGTGACATTTTGTGTAGATAAGTACTGGCACTGAGCAGGTCATGTAAGAGAAATCAGAAGTAGTGCCTGAAATGCCTGCAACATACTAGTGTCTACTCCCCCTCCCCCTCCCACCACCACCAGAGCAGTGCTACTGACTGAAATGTCTTTAGGCCGTTCCCAAAGGGAGGATATTAACATGTTCTTATGCACGGTAGAATTGTAAATATGGGCTGATTTATCAATGTCATGCTCATACATGCTTTTTCTGTCCTCTTCTTTACTATCGTCATTTTCCTCTATTTCTTTTGTATGTTTGTCATGCTTGTGAACTACTATTTCCGGGGTGTCTTGATAGTCGAAGCTTGATTCCCCGTTTGGACTTCTCTTTTGACATCCACCCCTTGTCGCTCATATCACCTATGCAGTTGCGAGCGCCATAAAAACCTTACTAAAACTAAATCTAGCTGCGAGCAAGCTTGCGATCGTCTGTCTATCCTCCATTTTGTCGACTGGACTTTGTTGTGTGTTCTTTTCGTTCCATATGTTATGTAATAATAATATAATATGTTATTGATGGTGCAAATTAACTCCCTTTTTCGAGCTGGTGTGGGGCTTGATTTGCTGGGTAGTAAATTTTTTTTCCAGGTAGTAAATTTTTCTGGGAAATATTGCTGGACACCCTGATAAAATACACCAGAAATGGTCAAATATCAAAACTCACTTTGTTCTCGGTTTTGGAGTAGTGAAGAGTTGATTGCAGAACCACCTTTTTTTTCTTTGTCGGAGGCACGTTGGATAATAGACTTTCTGGATTTGACATGAGTGCTGAGATTGCATGACTACTTTCAGCTGTTACTTGTTGGATATTACATATCCCAGCTTCTCTTCTTTCTAGTTTTGCCACATAAGCATGGATAAGTTCACCACCCTGTTCCCCATGTAAAGACAAACCAAACCCATATGTTTGTATCCACCCGTATAATGACATGTAAGTTTTGATGCATGTGTCAATGTGTGGTAGTCTGTCTTTTGACACTGGTTGGCTGTGTGAGATGTGGATGGGAACGCCCCTACAAGCATTGTTTAATTGACTGAATTTTTCTCCGAGAGTGTAAGCGGTGTCAATTATGTTTTGGCTGTTGGTGTTTTCTACTATTTCTTTTACAATAAATGCAGTGAGGTCTTTATAAACGCGACTCATGATGTATTTGTGGCAGTGATTGCCAATGAAAGAGTGGCTGTGATATGCCTGCGGTGTGATGTTGTGTGAGTCAGGTATGGTGTCTAAATGAGATAGGGCTAGAACAGGGTTAAGGGGTTCATACCGTAACTCAGACAACCTGTCTTCTTTCTCCGTCAATTGTTCTGGAAAGTTAATTCTCTCCTCTTCAGAGTCAGATAGTGCTATGCATCCTTCTAAATGTCTAAACTCCCCATTTAGTTCCTTGATCCCCACGGCTCCAGTTTTTGCCATAATGCGTAGTGACAACTAAACTCCTTTATAGTCTTCCCCTGATTGTTCACTTACCTGTATGTCTATTGTGTGTTTCGCTGCCTCTAGCAAACGATGGTGGTTCAGAACAACACCCAGAACAAAATGAAAGTATAGAGGTGCTACTTTAATGTGTTCAATGTTTATAAGTGGGAGGTGTAAACTGCAGAGAAAACGAGCAGTTTCAGAAAAACCAGGCGGTTATAGTGCCCTGATAGCAATGTTACTTTATGTCTTATCCTGTCCACTAAAACTGTGCAGATGTTTTTTTAATGCACTGTCTGTGAGTCCATTGTAATGCTTACACCAGAGGCCAAGAGAATGTCTGACGCAAATTTAAAACTCTGCAGGGGTCGCATTTTCTGTGCCTTCTGCTTGCCTGACAGTATTCTGCCACCACAAGTTCTGTAATATTCGTGCAGCTTTTGAAAATGCGAATCCTCTGTATGTTTATTCTCTATTTCTTAACTGGGCTAAAATATTTGTGAAAATCAATAAGAGAAATGTTGGAAAGATAACGCAATTCTAAAGACAAAGTAAAAAGAAGAGAAATGAAAGATCCGAGTGAATCACAGGGGAAGGGGTACCCTTTTTAAAAAAATCATATAAAATCACACATTCGCCTTGCACAAATAACACTTGTTCACACAGTTTAAGTATTGTTGTCTCAAGGGAAGCACTGACATTTCGTGAAAATCTTGGGTTTGGTTTTTGTGATAATAAACTCCAAAATGGAATATCATTTAAAATGCAAGAAGATGAACAAAACACTTGTACTGCAAAGTGTGTAAATGCTATTATAACACCAGTGAGATTTCTGAAGCGAAAGTGGGATCGTCTAGTTAGTCCTAAGATGAACTTTGAAATGAGATGTTAAACAGACTTCTAGGTTTATAGTTTATCAGATTTGGAGAAATAACGAGGGAAAGTGATATGAAAATTACCAGAACCGAGTTACGCAGGCATGGCGGCGGGCATCGCTATTGTCACGGTTGTTAAATACGGGAGTGGCCGATTAACACTGATTTATTATCTTCACGCTGGGGGTTAAACCGGGGCTTGGCCACCAACTAAAGCACCACTTTCAGTGGGATCTTAACAGCCGTGCGTAGTGCGCAATGCTAATGCGGAAAGAACATTTAAATGGAAATTCAACTAAAGTGTATCCATGTGTGCATGATGTGTTGTCTGTGATGCATGATACGTATTCGAACGTTCGAGGCATCGTTCGAATACGCATCACACAGCTATATGGACTCTGGAAGCTAGAAATTCTTGGGTGATTTACAATTGTAAAGACAAGAACTTGCTACATTTGTTCTCTGGTCAAGCGAAAGTACTGATGTAGTCATTCTGAGTCCAGTTCTAATTCTTTCACAAGATGGTGGTACACACCAAACCTTTTCCTTTGTTACAATATTTCATGTACCAAACACCTATGTTATGTTTTCCTCATTCTCCTAAGATAGGAATACATGAGTCCAATAATTGTGATGTCCTCAACCTCATCTTCCTGTTTCCGCATTTTGGCATATCTAGACAAGCAAGGAGCCATAGCCATAGCTCTACTGTGTTTACAGCCAAAAGAACAAATTGACAGATCACGAATGTACACGCACACATGGAAAAGGGCAATACACGTTACGCATTTTATGTATTGCACACTACGCATTACGTACACATGGAAACCGGGCTTAATTATATTATATATTTAATATATCTCCGTCTTGCGGAAAATGGCACTTTTTAGTGGTGAAATTTGTTACCAGAAATTAATTTTTTATAAAACACATTTTTGCACTGTAAAAGTTTCTCAAAACACGCATCATTCAATAAGCATATTGTCACGATTAGAAAAAAATGACGGCCTTGTTTTTAAAAACGATATTGCCCCAGCTATAAACTTTAAAAAATCTGTAGAAACCACTCACTTAGATTTAGTATAATTTTTAAGGAATTTTCTAGAATACTGTTAGCAGGTGTTCACAAAAACGTTATCTGTTAAATTGGCACTAAGTCATTGTGCGAAAGTTGGAGAACCATGTTCGATAGTTGCATTGACAACAAGTTGCTCCACTAATTTTTGACTGCACCATAATAGTAGTTAGTAGCACTATCACAAAAAATCTGCCAAAATTAGGGTGAATTTAACAGACCATGTAATGTAGTGACTAGTATTTTTATTATCATTGTATTTTGTCGGTGTGCTTACCTCTAAACGTTAATTAATATATTATGATTACACCTCAATAGTTGACTGCCATTTCGAGCTTGTAAAAATCAGCTCACATTTTTTGTTCCTGTTTTTGTCTTTGAACATGACCTTCAACATCTGTCAGATCAAATTATTCTAATCTCTAGACTTTACTTTAGTGTTGAGACCTTGATTTATTTGAATTTCCTTTTCAGAAAAATGTGATATCTTCTGTGCCCCAATTTTCTACAACGCCTCAGTTCTTGCAAGACTTACCGAATGAGTGTCAGACGTTGCTGTCATGGCTGTTCAATGTTGGCCATTTTAAATTACAGCTCAGAGAAAAGGATAGTGCTGTAAGTTATTCTTTTGTTTCTATGCATTATTGATCTGTTTTGTAGGCCTACTAGATATGTGTGAACTCTTTATTCTGCATGCAGTTGAAAATACTACATTAGAGTCTATTCTATTCATTTTACATCGACAGACATTTTAAGTACAGTAGTGTCCACCTAAACGCACCGTGCTTGGGTGCGCTCCTAAGCGTTAGTGCTGTGTGATTTTGAATAAACAAAAAATCATCGAAGCTTTGAAGCATGAGCTCACTATTCATGACATTCGAAATCTCCATCGAATGTTTTTTTCTTATATATTATGATAAACATAAACCCAGACATAAATGCCGCTACTCTAATTTCACTAGCTATGCACAGCGCCGTCGAATGTTTTTTTCTTACATGTGATAAGCCCAGATCTAACTTCCGCTATTCACAACGCTGTCGAATAGTTTTTCTTATATAAGCTAAGCCCAGATCTAAATTCCGCAATTTGAAACGCTGTCGAATCGTATTTTCTTATATGTGATTAGCCCAGATCTAACTTCCGCTATTCACTGCGCCGCCGAATGGTTTTTTCTTATATAAGATAAGCCCAGATCTAACTTCCGCAATTTCCTGTCGAATCTTTTTTTCTTATATTGTGATAGTCCAGATCTGACTTGCGCTGTTCAACACCAGTCACTGAGCGCACACAGAAGAACAGCACTGCTTACAAAGTTGGCAGGGTCAGATTGGGGAGCAAATCACACTGTCTTGCCTATGTTGGATATGTCCGCCCAGTCCTGGAATATGGTATCGCAGTGTGGGGAACAGCATCCTACAGCAACTTCCACCAAGTTGCAAGAATCCAGAATCAAAATCTGCAGATCATCACGGGAGCAATGAGATCCATGCCCATTCATGTCATGGAAACACTAACGGGGCTAGAACCCCTGAATGACAGACGTGATCTGAAAGCGATTGTTCATCAGGAAAAGGTCAAAAGAATGCCAACCCATGCAATGAAGGATACATCTTCAAAAAGCCAGAGCAAACGCTTAAAAAGAACAAGCTTCCTCCATATGGCCAGACACTCCAGCTCTGGAATCTCTCTTGAAGAATCTCCAACCCCACTAGACCCGTGTCAAGTCCACCCCCTTCAGTCTAATCACGCCCTTCAAATTCGAGAGAACCTAGAAAAGCTTGGCACAAAAGCTGAAGTCCCTCCTCCAATACTCAAGTCACTGACACTCGACTACCTGGACAGAAACTTCCCAAGCAACCGGTGGAATCGAGTTTACACAGATGGATCAGCAACTGATGCAGTCAGAAATGGTGGTGGAGGTATCTACATAGAGTGGATAGATGGGTCAACAGAAATCCATTCCATCCTTACAGGATCTCTATTTTCTAATTACACAGCAGAAACATCAGCACTTGAAACAGCAGCCACCAATCTCTTGAATCACCAAAAATCTAAAGCCAACACCGTCATCCTCACAGATGCCAAATCTGTCCTACAAGCTCTCCAAAAGCCACAAACAGCTCAAGTACGACAACTCCTTTCACTTCTATGTGATCTAAACTCCCAAGCCAACACAACTCTGCAGTGGATACCAAGTCACTGTGGCATTCATGGAAATGAAAAAGCAGACGACTTAGCCAAAAAAGGAGCCAAAATGACCCAGATTGAAGATGGCATGGATCTCTCAGAGTCAAAAACACTAATAAAATCTGCCTTAAGAAACAGATGGAAAAGGTCCCACCCTAAACACAACAGACATGACCCCTACTACATACTAAATAGAGCAGACCAGGTCATGATCTTTAGACTCCGATGTGGCCACAACAGACTTAAACACCATATGCACACCAAATTAAAAGTGGGAGAGTCAGCGATCTGTGAATGTGGACACGGCCAAGAGGATGCCAACCATATCCTTCATCACTGCCCGCGCCACGCCACCCTTCGCACACAGACGTGGCAGAATGTGGCTCCCCTTGAGAGAAAGCTCTATGGCAGTCTCTCAGAGTTGAAGCGAACTGCACTGTTTGTGCGCAACATCTGACTGACTGTCTAGCTGCTGTCATCGAGAACGAGGAAGAAGAAGAAAGACTGAGTGCGTGTGTGTGGTTGTCGCAGACAGTACAACATGTTGACATCACGTCACCGTTTATAGCGCTTCGAATTTTGAGTAGGGTTAGGGGAGCTCATTGCAACAGCTAACTTCATGAAAAAAAACATTCACTGCGCTTCAAGAGTCATGTGCCCCTGCTTGAGCAGTCCATAGAGTGACGAGTGAAAATTGAATGGTAAGAGATATTCTCTAAAGGATTGTTTTATAACTCTTGTAGGATCGTCTTATCACTCTGTCTCGTAACCATCAAATAAAGAGTATTTCTGTATATTTAATGATTTTAGATATAATGTACTCCAATTTCTCTACGTTTGAGTTTGAGAAAAATGAGACGAAAATCCATTATTTGTTTTTTTAAAAATCACACGGCATTCGAATGGCTCTGCCATGCTTCAAATAGCTGTAAAAATCATGAATGTCGAATAGTAAAGTCGAATGGGCACACTTCTACTTAGTGTACGTTTATGTGAACCTGTGCAATGTGGTAAAGGGATGCAACCATCTCATTTGCTTTATATTTTAGTGACCTCCCATTTTAGTGACTTCCCTTGGGGGGTGGGGGTTGCTTTCGTACAATGCAACGGAACTTAACTGTTTTGTATTGGATTTCCCGATTGTGTTTTTGACTACAAAAGACCTTAAATGAGGGGTGGAACAAAAACAGAAAGACTTACTCACTGTACTGACGTGCCGTCATGTCGGGAACAGATAAAAGTAAACTAGTGGTGATAGTCATAGGAGGAAAGAGCACTTAGCCACATGGCTTTAGCAACCACTCCGGACTGCCTGTCATCTATTGCAACTCGGCAAATGCATGGGGGACATCAGACGTTCTGAGAGACTTTTCTCTCTTGTGATTCGTTGAGTGTGTTAAGTTCTTCAAGCGCAGCTGATCACTTGAATAATCTTTAATCCTATAGCCTATATAGTTATGTGTGTTGCGCATCATATTTTCAAGGACTTTCTAAACATTAAGTCACCCAATCAGCAGTGAGAAACTTTCTCTCAAAAAAGCAGTTCGGGTGACCAGTCAAAAGACATCTGTCAATCACCCCCCCCCCCGAACATCGCTCTCTCATTCCTAGGTCTATGTGGCCATTGACAGTAAGGTGGGTTAATGCTCTCCATTACTCTCTTTGTTCTGTGTGAGGAGCAGTCTCACAATATCCAGTTGTCTAAACTTGTTATGCTTGCTCAAGCTTTAACTGTCAGTGAGCTTTGCGGAGTGAAGCGTGTGATTAGGGAAGGTGACTGAGCATTTGCATATCTAAATTATATAATAAAAAACCCGTCATATGATGATAGTGTGCGTTTGAGTAGAGCCTGCCTTTGTATGGCGTGAGTTTAGGCGGAGACTACTGAACTTTTTTGTAGTTCTTGTTTGTATTAGTTGACTCTTTTTTTTGGGACTAATTAATTGATTGTTATTTATGTGTAGCCTGTTCCTGTTAATGTAAACCATTATGGTATCCACATATTGAGTGTTTATGTTTTTTCTTTTTAAAGGTGAATACTGATATTATGCAACATTTATATTTAGTTATGATGACACCCTGCATTTTTCCTTCCTCCACCTCCAGACTCATACTTAAATTGTATTGCTACCCGTAGTTGCATGGAGTTACTTTTTATTGTTTAATCTGATAGCTGGTGGTACTAGACATTGTATATGTACAGACAACAAAGTTCCTAACATTCTAATTCTGCTTCTAAACTTTTAAAAATTATTTCCCCCTTCAGTTCAAAGCTGTCAAAGAAATGACAGGGCAGATAATGGACACCACAGAGCCGAACTATGTGTTTGAAGTCGTACATACTGATGAAATGGATAGAAAGTTTGAGAACTTGAGAAATGGAAGGAAATGTTTTTTCGCTTATCATGGAAGCAGGTTCGACAACTTTTACTCAATTCTTCTTAATGGCCTGAACACTCATTTGAACAAGGTAAAGTATGTCTTCTTTTGTTTTTATTAATTTCATTACTTTCTGAGTGCTTTTAGCCCATTTTGGACCTGCTTTCCCTCATACCTTTGGAACCATTTCTGGATTCATGAGACATGAAAATTGTTTTTGCCTGTACATTAGTCTCTGCCTAAGATCCTGGTGCTCAGGAGCAAGGAAAATGCAGGATCTTAGGTGAACGGGATCTTAACCGACGGACCCAAGGAAGAATCTACAGTGACCCATGTTAAGGCTCACAACCCGTAAAATGGTCTTTCACCGCTCTAAAATGAACTGGCGTGACTCCTGGGTGGGTTTATGACATTTGGCGAGCAAAGAGTGGTCAACTTTAATGACCAATCAAATATACACTCATTATCCTATCGTGAGTCTCAATATCTTCGCATATCCAGTTGCCCCTCCCCTTTACCTGTCCAAAATTTATAGTTATAGCTTTCTATCTCTGACCGAGTTCCCACGCCTTTGTCGTTACGCTATATTACGTTTTGACCGCACCAAGTAAAATTCAGTCTGTCTCACAAATTCAGGAATAGAGAAAACTGCTTCAATGATCAGGGAGAGTTCACAGTTCGATGTGATCCTTCCTGGAGCAAACTTGTAGGCTTTACCCACCCAGCGAGTGATGTAAGTTTAGGTGGAGAGCTCAGATGCGAGTGCGATGTTTGGCGAAAACAAACGTGTCGGTCAGTTCACACCTCGGTGTGATCCCATCTGGGGCAAACATTATACCGTTTCATCGAGTTTTACAACGCATGTGTTCACGATCACATGAGTGGCTGATCTTTGACGCGAGAGGTAGTTCAATGATCTCAACTTTTCACTCTTGGTTGATCGGCTAAACCACCCAAGTTTTGTTCCGTAAATTATGATCTGAAATACGGGATCTTAGCAGAATGTAGACCTTCACAGTGAATCAGAGTGGGATCTTAGGGGTGACTTTTAGTAGAAATTCTGTTTTTTTTAAACAGCAGGATCTTAAGCGAACCTGGATCGTAAGCGGTGGGATCTTAAACAGAGACTACTGTATCTGGTAAGTACTGTGAAACTTGGATATAGCAAAATCGCAAGGCCAGACCTTTAATTTCTTTGAATCTGAGTGTTTGTTATACATTGTGAGTAATAAGTTGCTTTGCAATGTAAAGCCTTTTTGTATCATACGGCAGCATTAGTTTCCACAGACCAGGGTGCAATTCATTTCATAGATTTAGATCTATCTAAGCTAGCCTTTCATTGTTCAGTTGCTTAAAGGGGGGGGGGATATAACTGATGTATCTGTATCTCTGCTGATGTTCCACACCCAGAACACTTGTCCTACGCCCCTTCTCCCCATTCTGTCAGACATACGCATTAACAGTCTGTTTAAGTTGTTGTCTGTCGACCTCTATTGACCCTGGCACATACCAAGATACGTCATGTTTTATGGGTTTGTCAACAACACACATGTTCATGTGAATGAAGGCTTCTGATTGGTTGCTTAGGATGTACACAATAGGCTAGACTAAGTGTGTAATGATCCACGATGCAGGTGCGAGCGATGGTTGCTTGGAAAGGTGTAGATAAGATTAGTTGTAAGAGAAATGTGTGAAGCCACATCGGGGGGAGGGGGGGCTCTAAGTTCGTTCATTTATGTGTTTGTTGAATCCTAGTTATTTTGTGGCTTTTAATTAATGAATTTTAAAAAGAATGGTGAATCCTCCCCTCTTTGTTGAATTTGAGTTTTCCTTGAATCCGAGTTTGTTTTATCCAAGTTTAACTGTATTGTCTACTTATCATTCATAAACGAACTCTGTCTCTTGTCCTTTTGGAATAAGTTGATCAAGACGATAGCTCCGCTTTGTATTTTAACTGTTAACATTCACATTCTTTCGCTTGTGTGGTTGTTCTCTAGGTATCTGTATTCGGAGAGGGAACCTACTTGTCTAGTGAACTTTCAGTCTCACTGATGTACAGCCCAGCAGCAGAATCTTCAAGGCACAGTCTTCTGGGTTCTAAGCTGGCATGTGTAGCTGTTTGTCAAATGATAGATGACCCAAGTGTGAAATGTCAGGTTAAAGAAGGTACATTTTTTTCTCAGCATGTCTTACATCTCGTAGTTCCAGCTTATATGTGTAAATAATTATATATATACAGTCAAACCTGCCCTGACTGGCACCTCTATAAGACGACCACCTGTACAAACGGCCACTTTCCATTTCCCCCCTTGCGTTTTTTCTATATATAATTTAACTGTGTAAAATGGGCACCTGTCCAACGCGTCTGCGGCCACCATAATTAAACACACAACCCCTATCACACTAAGCAATAACACCTGTGCTAGACAGCCACCTAGTGACTCTATTATGTTTTGTCATAAATTTTCGTTAGGTAGTCCCTCCAACCGATCATGTTGAGTAGGCCCCTCCGACTGTTGACCGATAGCTACCAATTTTCAGCTGCTGGTGAGGTAAGCGTGTGATCCCTCATAAGCCCTGCCCGGAGCTCATACACAAATCGTAAGTGAAATGAGTGGTCACTGTTTACCCAGTCTGTAACAAAGTAACAAAGGATGTCAACATGGACTGGTTACAGAAGCGTCGCTCGTTCTCCGAGTGGTGACGACCCATGTGTTTGTTTTAACGTAGCACTCGGTCTTCCTTGTCAGACAAATGTCGTTTTATTGTCACCCATGTGCAAAATCAACTACAAAATTAAAATTACAAACGAAATGCAAACCACCACCAACAACAACAACGACAACAACAATGGGGCTACTTTCGATTGGGGCCTCAGATGGGAATGGTTTGTTTTCTTCATCTTGATCAGTCTTGCCGAAGATGGCCACCTGTCTTATACGGCCGCTTTTCTTCTTGACAGTGGCTGGCTGTCTTACGCAGGTTTCACTGTATATTTTTTCCTTTTCTTTCTCTCTTTATCATACAGCAATTTAATTACTTTTTTATGTGTGGAGGTGACCCCTTCTTGAAATTAACCCTATTTCTATGGTAAACTTGCTTACGTCGGGGTGAAGTCTTTAAGAACAAGGATGCTCCTTTAGAAGTAAGAAATGAGTACATATGATAGATACAAAGATCAGTAAAGTATATATTTGGAAAGCTCTTTGAAAAAGCTATAACATACGCTGAAAAAAATGTACCATTTCGACAGTTGTCCCCTAAAATCTGCCGGAAATCTCAGAAACTGCCGAGGACCAGATGAAGCCATTTTCACCGACTTGCAGAGTTGCGGCCGGCGGCGGTGCTAAGTTAAACAATGGACAATATGTTCTTCTGGCTGAAAAAGAGTTCTGGTAACTACAGGAGGTTTTTCTTTTTAAAATTAGTGCACTTTTATTTAGCATCTGTATTTCTGGGGTTCGCGAAGACCTTTTCCGGAAACTGCCGAGGACCTGACGAAGCCATTTTCACTGACTTGCAAAGTCACGACTGCAGGTGGTTGTAAAATAACGGACAATCTTTTTCGTTTTTTTTTCTCAAAAAGAGTTTTAATAACTGCAGGAGGTTCTTCTTGTTAAGATGAGTGCACGTTCTCTTTTTTCGGAGTTCATGTAGACCGTTTTCGGAAACTGCCGATTTAATTGACAGTAACAGTTAGGTGGCAAAGAAAGTGCCGATGCCAGTGATAAGGTTAAGCAAGTATAATGTGTCTGTGAAGACCAATGCTCTTAACTGAAGAAGGGGGCCAGAAGGAGCTAACAGATGATTGCTCAATCCTTTGAGGCTGGCATAGATTTTAAAGTCACATACATTGGAGGAATATCTTGGAAATGCTTCCGAAGCTGTGGGCAAAGATGTTTGTTGACCGGTGCTAAGATGTTTCCTTTTTCTTTATACTATACAGTCAAACTTGTGTAAGACGGAATCGCAAGGGAGGCAGAAAAAAATTCTGTCTTAGACATTTTCCGTCTTAGACAGGGGAATTTAATGGAGAGATGGAGGGGGGGGGGGTTCAAAGGCCCAGCCGGTGGGATCAAGGGTCGCTTTTCCAGTCGGCAGCAAGCAGTCACAAGTGGTCAAAACTTCACACCTCTCAGCTGCTATCCTCTCTGATAATGACATGCGTCAGTCTTATCCAATTACCACCAGTGCTTGCATTTCATAGGACCACTGTTTGACTTATTAAAAACAGAAAAGTTTGAACATCTCATTCACTTCCACCCTTAGCCCCACCCATCGATGTAATAAGCTCAGTCAGCCAATGCCACCCCTCCCATGAATGTAACAGCGATTCGAGGAACTCTTTTCTCGGCTGGCTGTACGATCAGGGCGGCAGGCATTGGTTAAACTAATTTCACACCTCTAGCCTCTGACTACCAATGAAAGTTTCCGTGATGGAGCGCCTCTGGAGCACTTTCACTGGCTTTCGTGAGATTTCACACTGACACCACCCTGACCATAGATGAGGCAACATCTACCCTCAAATTGCACCCGTACTCCCCTTCCTCGCCTGGCAGCACGGCGTTAAGTTTAGAGCCGGCAGAACCAAACTTGCGAGTTTTGTTTCTAATCTGACCTGAGCAGACAAAGCATTTTCCGTCTTAGACAGGTAAAACCCTTGGAAGGGAGCAGATTTTTCTTTCCGTTTCTGTGTTGGACAGGTTTCTTATTTGAACAGGTAATTAAAGAGGAATATATCAAGGGTGGAGCGGGGAGATTCCCTTAAGGCAGGTTTCCGTTTTATACAGGTTTCCGTTATGGCAGGTTTGACTGTAGTCCATTGTAGGAGGAGAAATGCTCTGATATCATTGATTGTTGGGAAATTAATTCTGTGTTTTGGTTTGATCATAATTTGTCATAGTGTGATCTGCAGACCTGTTCATTTCACTACCTATATGATATACGATGAATTGTCATTGTAGATTTAGCTTTGCTTGATAATCTCCTTGTTCCTTCTTTGACAGGAAGTGTATCGAAACAAAAAGTACGGGCCCAAGCCTCCAAAGTTACTGACCTTGTTCCAGAAAAATACTATGTGGTGCAAAGGAATGATGTGTTGCGTGTGAAATACCTACTTTTGTACAAGGAAGAAAGCAGTCAAATTCAGTAAGTTTTTACTATTTTCTTTTTTAGAAAGTCTTTCTGAGTCTGAAATGTGAGTATTGAAACCAACGTTACATAAAGATTATGAAGTGTACTTGAAGGTTTAATGAATGAAGAGTAAGTAGACAATGTTTTGTATCAAAGATATTCTTGTACTTAAAACTTTGGCACATTGATGGTAATCATTTCAGTGGTCTTTACCTACAAATATTCAGATGCTTTTTGCGCTGTACTTTTTGTATTGCTCATTCTTATCATACAAGAAATTTTTAATGATCCTCTTTATTCCAAGTGATGCTTAAACAGTTGAGAGCCATCATTAATTGTTACAGGAGAATACACTGTCAAAAGTTGTGATTCACTGTTTTACTTATATTTATTTTGTTGCAATAAAGAACGGATTGAAATTAAAAGAAAGATCACAGGCTAGTTTTAAAAAATCTAACAGTCCCATTTTGGTCTCTGGTTAATATGTGGCTATGATATACAAAGCAAGTCTGAATTCTTTTAGCAAGTAAGTTCTACACTTTTTGATGAGGGCAAAATTACAAAGGAAGGTGGCCTTTAGGCCTGGAAGGGGATATGCAGGGATTTCGAGGGGCTTTTCTCCACTATGAGATTATGGTTAACATAGTTTTGATGAAAACAATAAAAAGATATGCATATTTCAGTCTTATAAAATTTAGATTTCCAGTACTCTATTATGTAGTCTTGATTCTTAGACTCAGATATAGGGTGGATCATATGTGTCACGACGCGTTGGAATCGGGCGCTCGTCAATTTTTCGGCATATGGAGTTGTTGGTATCATCTTAAAGTTTGCTCTGTTGTCTTGCTCTAAATGAAAAAAGTACCCATTATTCTTGGATAGGAGTCGAGATATTTAGGGTTGAAGAAAACGGGGGTTGCTTGGTTTCAGAGGTATATTTGCGAGAAAACAGCCGCCAAAGTTTGGTAACTTCTATAGTTTGAGAGTCCTTGGAAACTGAAAATTTTCGTTTTATGTGCTATGTTGACTTACAGACTAGTAACTTCAGGCATTGAGGTAATCTGTACCAGATGCAGTGTTAAAATCTCTTTTTTTATTGCTCTGACCATGATTTTATTTCATCCAGTCATGTTTACGTTTTGTAGGCAGAAAGAATTTTATAGACGTGGCTGGATGAGCTTAAGGTATATGATGCTTTATTTCAGATGGTTCTTTGCTGAAGGTTGGTTAATTATGGTGGGTTTGGTTAGACTTTGTTGAGACCCGTTTGATTTGTAAATTGGATGGACAACTCTCCACTCAACAGTGTTGCAACTGGAGTCAGACATGTAGATTTCAAAGAAAGGGAGATTTGTTGATTATGAATTGTCACCTCTATGGTGCTGATGACCTAATATCTCCTTTTTTAACATGATTTTTGGAGGCCATGATTGTTGGTGTAGAATGATGGATCTATCATGTGTAATTTGCTTTGCTTTCACGTGGGCATAGTGATTAACATATATTGTATTATGGCAGTGCTGTTGAGCAACTAAAATGTTGAGTCCACATGAATGTTTCATAATAAAAATTCGGTTTTATAGTAAAACATATTTGAGTTGAAAAGGTTTGAGTTTTGTTCTTGTCATTATATTGTGCTGGATCAAAGAACTATATGACCTTATGCAGTAGCGAGCGCCGTAAAATCTCTACTAAAACTAAAACGAACTATGTCACGCTTTTAGCTTAATGTTATAGATGGGTTAAATGTCCCTTTCAAAACTGTAAGGATAATTAAGAGGTAGTACCTCTGAATTATAAACCATCTTTGATTTGTTCAAGGTAAGTAGGTGGAGAGCCTTAAAAACATTTTAACCGACCTAAGTTTCGGAATGCTGCATTGGGGTTTTGAACCAGGTGATCCATACCAACTGAGCCAATAGCACACTCCTTTGCTTTATGGAAAACTCACCTACGAACAGCTTTGAAAAGTCATGATACATATACAGTGGAATCCTGTTATAACGAGAGGGAGGGGACCGGTAAGAAATGTCCGTTATAGACGGATTCTCGTTGTAAGGGATCCAGTAATAAATTCAAAGGAAATAGTAAAGTAGGCCTAATCCATGAGTTTTGTGTTCTGTTTATTTCTTTTTGTTATCTCCTCTGATGATGGCTTTGTTCAACATGACCTCTAGGTCTTACTTGATCAAAAATTGAATCAGGTTTCTCACTCTAGCGTTAGCGATGTTGACAGCTCGGGGTTGGCTATCAGAACGAAAGTTCTCTAGGCTAACTCGCCCGCTGTATTTTCCCCCCACCCCACCACTCCCTGTGGTGCGTTCCCGCGTCTGCTTGCGCACGTCACACATTCGCTGTATGATCAATCACAGCACTGTGACCTCTCCATCCTCGCATCGGAGAAGTGATAGGCATGATAGAATACTTAGGCCTAGATAATCTAGACTAGGCTGGCCTATCACTATCAGGCAATGCGTTCTGCTTCACAACGGTGTGTCTGTGCGTGCCACACACTCCCCACTCATTCGCCCCAGCCTTCATTGTTGGCACACATGGGCACTCACTTTCTTTGTTTCGCTTGATAACCAACAAGTTTCTCAACTGGTGAGGTTTTGCTTGAATAAATGGCCTATGCACTGTGCACAGCAGCAGCTATATTCTGCTATAACTGACTCGCGCGTTTATGTGATTGCGCTATAGCAGTATTTTATTTACAAAGATTAAGAAGGGAAAAAAACGGGTTTTTAGAATGATGTCTTTATAACAGACTTCTCGTTGTTTCAGGACTCGTTATAAGTGGACTGCACTGTACATATAAAAGTCCTTCTGAAAAAGCTAAATAAGTTAACCAAACAAAATTGGGTTGTTAAATAGATGGAGCCAATACTAGAAGGTCTAGGTTCGCACATCTGTTAGGTTTTCTGCCTGGAAAGATTAACTCTTTCCGGACATAGTTTTTTGGGGGTCTAGACAATTTACCTGTGGCTCAATTTGGCTATGCAGGTGGTGTACAAAATAACTTCATAGATGCATAACTATCCCTCAAAACGTAACATATGATATATCAAATTGAAATAAATTGAATGAGGAGTACATCCCAATATGAAACAAGGATTAATTTTGAACATAAGTAAGAATTAGAAGGGTTAGAAATGGCGATGGTGATGAGAAAAATAAATTTTGATTAAAAAAATTACATTCACCAAACATGTGAAAGCAAATCAGCATAGCTATCTTATCATATACAGGCCAAGGGCATAATCCATAAATTTCTGTATGTGCAGCTTTTTGTTTGAAAGCAATATTCCAATTTTTGTTTTGAGTTATGATATTTTTATACTGAGTCCAGTTACATCGTTTTGTTGATGCAAGACCGCAAGAACTAATTCACTAATTTTCCCACAAACCCACGCTTTGACAAAGTGAAACTAGATGTTTTTGTTTCCTAAATCCTTTCCGAGTTTTTCAATAGCAATAAAAAGTAATTATGAATGACACATCGTGTTAAAACGAAACAATACTGAGGCACCCTATCACAGCCGCGATACGTCCGGAAAGAGTTAAGGGAGCTGAAGCGGTTTTAATAGTGTTTATTAATATACTTCTTGATGTTTAATTATGTTTTGATGTGGTGCATTGTTTCAAATGAAGTGATGGATTGATACATATAGTGTAAAGCGCATAGAGCCTGCTGCTGAGCGGGGATATGCGCTATACAAATGCTATCTATTATTATTATTATTATTACATTGTAAAAGTTTTGCGCTTTAATCGGATTGATACAATTTTGGTAATTTAGGAGGCATGCTGCCTGTCCAGGCTAACCCAGGGTGAGTGGGATACAGCATTCCAGTAGACAGATGGAGATACTCAACAAAATGACTTCCCAAAGCAAATATCAAACTCATGTTTTCTGCATGCAAGAGAGAAGAGAATGAACATGCTATCATAGTTGCTAAATGTTTGAATGGTTTCTACACATGGAAAGCTTTTTCATTTGGATTAAAAGGCTTCTAGTTCTAGATGAAATGTCATAATCATAACATATTTTTTTTGTCGTTTTTTTCTACAGAACAACAGCAAATACCTCCTCATCATGGATACGAGATAACAAGTTTACTTTGCTCATGGTTGCGTATGTTTTGTTGCTGGTTGCTATTGGAATTGCTAATTCCCGCCATGCCATGATCTACCTGAATAAATTCTGGAAAAATGTAAAGTTGTCATAAATGCCTGTCCAGGATAATTGCTAGTAGTAGTGGCTCGTTGGTCTGTCCTGAATACTTGAAGAGTTTTGTTACAATTGCCTCTGCTTCGTTTTCATGACAATATTTTGTGTTTGAAATCAACTGATGTTTAAGTGTTTAGAACGCTTTGAGAAAAGTGGATTATACTGCTTGTGGGCAGGAGATACTTTGGAAATTGAAACTGTATTTCATTATATAAAGAGTTTATTGTCAAATTTGATCAAAGGGGATATTTTTGTATTTTGCTGCCGGAATATGAGACTCTCTAGCACAGCCCACATTCATCTTCATGATTGAATGAGTTACTCTTATGTGGTCTTTTTCAACTAACGATGCAATTGTTTGAAAAGTAATCAAACAAAACAAGTATTGGAATGAAAGATTACCCTCCTTTCTTTTATTAGTTTTATCAAATCATGTTCCTTAGACTGTAAGTTAGAATGTTTTTGTACTCTGAAATTTCATTTGTTTAAATCTATGGGAACAAACAAATTTTCCCATTGTTTGGGTCAACAGATTGAAAGACTCTGGAGTAGGAAAACCTTGTGTATGAGCATTATCATATAAACTAAATTTACGCGTTGCATATGTAGGTATAGAGATGTAAAATCTCAATAACCCTCTAATCTAATCTTCATTTTTTTCGCTCTTGTGTATTCTCTTGTTTTATGTGAAGTCTGTCTTTCATCTTGGTTTTATTACCATGGCAACTATTTATTTATCTATTTTAATATAGGTGTTTTTAATACCCCATCTACTCGATTAAGATTATTTAGGAGGCGGCCTTCCGACCTTGTCTGTCAGGGCCAACCAAGGCTGAAAGGGATACACTGTCCCCACAGAAAAACAGAGATCATACTCAATAAAAAATCTCCGCACCGGGGAATTGAATTTGGATCTCCTGTGTGCATCAGTGAAGCACCTAACTGCTACACTAAAGATGCTGGTATGGCAACTATTTGACAGGTTCTAGGTCAGAATAAATAATTACATCAATAGTGTTGATGCCTTGAACAAAATGACAGTAAATAAGAGACATTTTTTGAACACATGAAAAATCCATACATCTGGAGAAAATCTCTGGAATAAAATTGTTTGGTAGTAAACTGTCAGATATTGAGAATTTATATTTCACTAGTTGGTCTTTTCAGTATGACCCCTACTCTCCTCTCTTAATCTCTGACATTATGGAATAGCAGGAATTTGTGTAGAAAAAAAAAATTGGATTATTGTTTTTTTATGATCAAGTATTCATTTTGCAGAGAGAAGAATTTTTTACATTGTTTCTGGAAATGGGAGGGGGGATACAACAGGTTTTTTCATTTTCAAAGGATATGAAAACAGCTTTTGCTAAGGTTGAAACTTGATTACATGAAAGAAAGTTGAAAACGCTTAATTTTTCCATTCACTACTGTTCCTGCGACTCATGTCATGAGAGCTTTCTAGATGTGTGAACAGAAATTGTGACCCATGAATTAAATAGTTTATTTTTTCAAATTTGACATGTGACATTTACAGCAATTACTGTATTTTTCTGTAATCTATAACACTTTTTTTGCCCCTTTCTTTTTCCAAGATAATCTTTCTCCTTACAACTAGTGTGGCGACAACAGTGGAACTGTTGGTTGACACAAGTGGCCTATGTGTAGAACTTATGGGTTTCTCATCTCAGTATCTATGTTCTCCACATTCTCCTCATCTTTCACTGTCTTCCAGTGTATTCTGATTTGAGTTGGCTTTTTTTTTTTTTTTTTGGGGGGGGGGTGCATAATTCTCAGTTAATTATATATCCCCCCTATTATCCCAATCTGACAGGACAAATTTCGTCAGAGACTTTTTGTAAGATGAATATATATATATCTGATCAAATTTGAAATATTACTATGGCATGCTTTCAGTGCAAATTTCCCGACTGGGGAGTGGAATATTTGTTGCCTATTGCTTTGACAGACCTCCAGCAGGTAGTGTGTGATCATATGCCAAGGATGGGTATTCAAATGGTGCATTAAAGTTAAAGCTCCACTGTCAAGTTATTGGAGCCTTCATTCTACTTGACTAGTACTAGACCCTCTTTTGCTACAAAAGTGAAAACTTACTCTACAGGTTGGTATGGTACCACTTCAGCATATGTTTGCTCATCGCTTTACAAGATTTAGACCTCGTGGTTTGGATTCTGTTGCAACAGTTTGGGACTATGGTCTTTCCTTCATTCTTTTTTTAACCAGCGTCTTGATCCTGTATTCATGTAATTTAATTTTTGAGAAGGAAAGAGGTTGGAAGAGTCATGAAAAGGGGCTTCACTTCAGATGTATCAGTCAAGACTCAAGGCTTGATTATTATGGTAATTCAGTTCAGCTTTGAAGGAACTAAAAGTTTGTCAGTTAGATTGATGACATTTACTTCAGTATGGATCTAGCATTTGACAAGAGATCTGCTGGTTGGTTTCAAAGTTAGGGAATGTTATTTTCTCATAATCATGAGTTGTTCTCCTTAAGACAAGTAATTCTTGTTGCCTGACATTGATTTTCCTGCAGTCTGGAGCCTATGGATTTCAGGCATTGACAATAATAATACTGTATTTGAAGTTTGAATTGTCCAATTTAGAGATTACTACTATTTATTGAAGGTCCCTGGTGTGGGTGAGATGGATCTAGAATTTCCGTGTTCATTAATGATAACCTGTGAAGTCTTGAACCTCCGATTACCTCAATAATATCATTTGTAATTTAAATGAACATTTTACTTTTGACTCTTTTATTTAACTGTATTCAAGTAAGGATCACTGTAAAATATGTTAATCCTCCTCTGTTAGTTGTGTACCTGCATTATGGTTGTGAGGGAAAGTATTGCATGATTTTGCAGTTGGAAGAATGCTTTGCTTTTTTTGTCCCTTTGACATTCTTCCTTCCAGTCTTATTAAAGGAAAAAGCTGCATTGTTCTTGATGTGTAGAACTGAACAAAATTCATGTGCTGACATTGTTTCTGAATGTTGACAGAGAAGAAGAAAATCTTTTTATGATGTGTGCTTCATGAAATCCTATATGTTACAATGCAAGAATTTTGTATCATTCAAGAATCAAGTACATTGTTATCTATAGTGCAGTCAAAAATTTGTGGGGCGTCTTATCCTCAAATATCTCTTTAACGAGTGAATCAGTCTCACGCATACTTTTCACAGAAGGTTGAATCAATTTGTCTCAACTGAATTGTATTTTCCCACTACAATTGGAGCTAGATTAAACAAATTTTCTTCACAAATTTCTATAAAATAAAATACAATAAATCTCCTTCTTCTGGAAAATGGGATTGTTCTCAGCACTTCCCGCTTCTCACGCACATTTTGGATACGTATGTGGCCTACGTCACAGCTCACCAATGACACTTTTTAGTGGCAAACATGTTGCAAGAAATTAATTTTATATTGACCACTTTTTTTGCACTTAGGTTCTCAAAATGTGTGTTCAATAAGCATACTGTTGCGATTAGAAAAAAAATGACGGACTTGCTTTTAAAAGCAATATTGCCCCATCTGTAGACCTTTTAAAATTTAAAAATCTCTAGAAACTACCCAGTTGGATTTTTAATGAGTATTTATTTAAGAATATTCTAGAATACAGCTGATTGATGTTTTAAAAAAATATTGATTTGTTAAGACAAATTGATACAAGTCATTGTGCAAAAGCTGGAAAGTCTATGTTGGATAGTTGAGGAAACATTTGAAAATAAGTTGCGCCGCAAATTTTTAACTGCTCTATAAGTTTGTTCAATGTAATTTTGTTGTTCTCTACTTTCAACTCCTTGCCCAGTTTTTCTGTTTTTGTTTTGTTTGATATTTCTTTTTCGAGGGAAAAAAAACCCTGTATTGTATGCAATGTTTTGTTACAGGAAAAAATGTACATGTACTAGTGAGAAATCTCTCCCTTTGGTTTGAACGTAAGTGATATTGGTGTAAAATCTTATAGATTAATAATTGTCAGTCCAGCATATATTCGAAACCTAATGCTTTTCTGTAAAGTAATGATGTGAAAAGGAACCACTTTTGCAACCCCTCCCAATGACACGATTAAGATTAAACAATTTGTTTTTAAATTTGGAATTTTTGACTTTTAACATACTAAATGATATATCTGTAATGGCTTCTACTAGTAGACAGTAACAAATTTTAGTGAAGGCTATTGCGTGTGATGAATTAATTGACCTAGTATGTCAAATATAATCTAAATTGAGAGTCAATTCTATGTTATTGTTTTTTTGCACTATTTTTTTCTCTCATGATAGAAGTTTCTCAGGGGTAGGAATTTTTTTGATCGAGTGTGTTTTCAGTACCTATGGATGACAAGTATCGATCATCTCTCCGTGGATACACACACCTGTTAAAGATTTTATTTTGTCAGCCTTATGCTTCATGTGTTCATCATGTCTAATTTTAGCCCATTCTACTACACTTGATCATCTTCTCCTATATATTTATAATAATGAACAATTTAATGACTATTTACAACTAAATTTGTTAATTTTTTTTTTTTGCTGGGAAGAAATTGCAAGTTATGATTTGAATTTACCGTTTAAAAAGTTTTGGTGTTAGTTGGTGAGTTTAAGTGCCTTTTTTGAAAAAAAAATGTATGTCCCATAAGATCACAGTATGTAATATCCTCAGAAAGTACACTTCAGTGCTTCTGGCTTGCAGACTTGTTCTTTCTAATGGTGCACTGTTGTAGAACTTTTTTTTTCTAAAGAGTTATCTGTCTGCTTTAGAAAAAATTGTTGCTCATTTATTAATTTATAAATGGGCACGTAACTTTGCATTGCACTCCTGTAGGCCAGGGATCGAACATAAAAATATATATGAGGAGTCCACTGAAAAAACGGGCATAGTCACAAACTGAAAATCGCAGGGGTACCAATTTTAAACGCTTGTTGGCTCATAACTGTATTTCTGTTCAGCTGTTGGTTGATTATTGCTGTTAGATTTACCATCCAACAAACATATAAAATAAACCACCAATCAAACAAATATGAAGTTAGGAGTCCACAAGCTTTTAAAATTGACACCCTCACAATTTCCAGTTTGTGACTATACCCGTTTTTTCAGTGGAGTCTTCATATTTTTTTAAACATTGTGACCCAGTAATTAAAAAGTTTCTTTATTCGGACCCCATATTAAGCACCATCTTTTGAGTGCATACACAGGATCACTACAATAAATGGTTTACAGCATCTTACCTTACAAATTGCTCATTTTGAGACGGCGATGCCACACTCACATTCCTACGTAATCACATACTTTTTACCATCTAGATGTCACTAAATATTATGTGTCTTGAAAAGTACTCCCCTGTCTGTTGGACCATATTTTCATGGATGTGAGTTAAATTAAAAAGTAAAGTTTTGATAAAAATTTAAAAAGTTTTAGGCGTGTGTATATCACCTATTATTTATTTTAAAAACATCTTTAGGCTTACATCACAGCATGTGTCGAAATCTTATTTTGCAGTGCAGTGTTCTTCATTATGGGCTTTTAGTTTCTGTTGGTCTTCCCACTTTTAAACCTGTGTGCAAAGACCTGAGAAGATTGAATAGAGCTATTTTGTTTTCATACAGTTTTTAACTGAACTTCGGACAAATGAAAGTGAACAAGCTATGATTGTAGCTCCTGAGGTAGAGTGATATGGAACACAATTCACAAAGAACCGATAAGCAAAGTACAAGAATAATTCAGAAAGTATAGTAATAGTATAAGGAATAAGGAGCAAAATGCACCAAAATGCCTTTTCTACATGAATGGTTTGTTCAACTGCTTTTATTAAAAGTAAAAGTAATGAACTCATAAGTTATTTGTATCATGCTGACTTTAGATACAATAAGTAGGCCTATATATATTGATTGTTTATGGTATTTGCTTTTCTTTGAGATTATGCACACAAAAAAATGATGTAATTTTCTCTCTGTTTACACCATGTTAAAACTGTCATAAAATCTATTCCAAAAAATAAAATACTGTGATTATTGGAAAAAGAGCTCAAATGTACTTTGGTTCGGCTTATGGATACTTTTAAGGATTTGTTAAGCATAATAAATTATGTTTTCCATGCAATAGAAAAGGTTCTTTTGTTTACTTTTTTCAAAAAATGTTGTATTAGTATTAGATCAGTTGAAGTGAAACTGGATTACTTGAACACTTCTGGTAAATTTTTGTGAAACTTGAGCTTTGTCTCTTTTATTTATTCACCTGTGCTTTCAGTTGTGATATGGCTCCTCAGATATAAGGTGCTCTAAAACACTCTGGTAAACCTTTATTTTAATGCTGATGTGCCCATTTGACGAAAGTGACTCTGCGCATTCTTGAGTTTCTTTCCTGTGTTTTACAATGTCCATATTTGCTTACTCAAAGTGAACATTTTTTATAAAATACTTTTCCATTCTGTAGGGTTTGACATACAGTCGACTAAGCTTGTAGCGATGTCGTTGGGGGACCAGAAAAAAGATCGATACATCCGAAGTTCGCAACAGCAGTTGGAAGAAAGATTCAAGGGGAATAATCCCAGTACCCAACCTCACTGTAGTTGTTCCTCATGGCGCTAGACGAAGTGAGAGAGAGAGACAGTATCGTGTTCGCTTCGGCGCTTATCATATGAGGTTATCAATAGTATAGGGAGATTGATGCCTCGTACTATTGTGTGAATGTGCGTAACGTTACAAAACAATATCGGGTTCATCAATGCTAGGTCAAAACTAACCAGGGGGGGAACATCGTTAAAACTGTTATATTTTTACTATTAACTATATGGGCCGGGATAAGAATACACCTCACTACAGCAGTCACGACAGATGTAGTGAATTCGGTACAACCGATTCAATTTGAGTTTGTGTTACATCGGTGCTCGTTCCACGGAAATAGATTGCTACGTCCAAAGATCTTTATGACCGACTTCACTACAAGTGGAGTGGACTGTAATTGAGGGAAAAAGCAATGCTTCTTTAAGCTCCTCCTTTAAACATTCAGTTTCTTTACAGACATTGATCATTGATATATACAAAATACTTTGTTTGTTCTTATTATTCTGAACATACCAAGTGAAAGAATGGGCATGCCATTTGTACTTTGGATGACCCTGGTTCGAATTCCCAAATGGGTAGTTTTAAAAGTGGGTTGTTGGGGAGTTTTCAAGGCTCTCCACTTACTCTACTCAGTCCTGGAAGAGATGGACATTGAATTAAGAGGTTCTTTTTTTATTATTTTTATTTTTATAGTAGAGTGTTTTGCGGCGCTCGCAACTGCATAGGTCATATGAGCGCGCGGGACACACCTAATATTTTCAGTTGGTAGGAAATTTTAAATTTTGCCCGGGTGGCGGCCGAAGCCTACTCTTATCGATTTTAGACCACCAAGGGATCTTTAACGTGCGCAACTTACACACGGGCCCTCTAAGATTTTTCGCCCTTGTCCGAGAAGGCTAGGTGTAGATCTTTCCTACCAGAAGATCAGGGGTGTGGCTGAAAGACTGCAGTAAGAAGAAGCGAAGGAGTAGCAGTAGAAAGGCTGCAGAAAGAATCAGGAGCCCAGAGGAAGGGGCAAAGGAGGTGACGGGGTGAGGGCAGAAAGTGGAGACGAAAGCAGACGATAGAACATTGCTAGAGAGCAGGAAGTGAGGTGAAAGGAGACAAATTTAGAGAAGAAAATTTTTCGGTCGCTACCCGGATTCGAACCCAGGACCTTTTGAGTGTGAGGCCAACACCTTAACCTCTAGGCCACGAGAGCCCCCTAAGAGGTTCCACCTCTTAAATCTTTATACAGGTTGAAAGGGGCATAGAACTGTCCTGTAGCAATAAAAGTAAAAGTGAAAAAATAAGTAAAAAGTCAGTAGTTCTCTAACACCTTTTTTTATTGTCAATGAAAGAATTTGGAAACTGAATTAAAAGCAAAGCTAGTCAGAAGAAGAAACCTATTGCAGAGTTCCTCTCTTCCCTTTCCATAATTCTTGAAGCTCTACTTTACATCCCAAGTCCCTGAGAGCAGCCTTTGCCTCGTCCTGAGCTTCTTTGTGGCAATTCATGGCGTTGTTGAGGAGGGGCTCCACTCCCAGGGCCAGTATACATTCAGATAAGTCTTTTGTTCTGGACACAAGGTTCCTCAAGGACATGCATGCATTTTTCTGGGGAAAACATATTGCACAAAAGCTTGAAAACCTTTTCAATGAAAGGTTGCCATAAAAACAAAGAAGAAAGTGTTTTCTATGCATATTAGATACAGTTGAACCTGCCGTGATGGCCACCTGAACGAAGAGCCACTTTCCATTTTCCCCCTTCGCGTTTTTTTCTGTACAATTTAACTGTGTAAAACGGGCACTTGTCCAACGCGGCCGAGGCCACCCTATTTTATCAACCCACAGCCAAATTTACCTGCCTGAGACGGCAAAGTTTTGTTAAAAAAATCATTTTCCTCCGCCGCTGTGGACAAGCCGTCATAATTCATTTACCTGTCGTTATTGCCAGTCTCTCAAATGGATGAAATGTCATGTTGCTTAGGTCGCTCCCAAAGTTTACCCGAGTTGACCAATGAGTAACAATAAATTTTCAGCTGCTGCTAAGGGAAGCGTGTGATCCGTCATAACCTTTAAGTCCCACCCACAACTCAGTTCGTAAACCTTGTCCTTAACAATGGAAGTCAACACAAACTCATGACAGTGAAGTGTCACTCATTCGCCGAGTGGTGGCGACCCATTTGTTTGTTTTACTATGGCACTTGATCTTCCTCGTCTGACACATTTAGAGTTATTTTGACCTTTCACGAAGTGATAATTAAAAGAATCCCGCCCTCCCAAAAAACCCCCCAAAAAACCTAACAACTAAAAGCCACAAAACCGTCCTATCCTCTCCCACCTTAAAAAAACCCACCAACAACCCCTCCCCCGGAAATCCCAAGCCTGCGACCACCTCCAGTTAGGACCTCAGAAGTGAATGGTTTGTTTTTTTCATTTTGACTGATCATTCCTGCATATGACGGACGGCCACCTGTCTTATACGGCCACTTTTCTCCTCAACAATGCGTGGCCATCTTAAACAGTGGAAACCAACAGGAATCCGGGAATAACTGGAATTTTTTAAATCCCCGTTTTTTCCTACTCTTTGTCTCTATTTAAAGTTATCGGCAATAACAAGGCCTTATCGGAGCCCACTCGGTTTTATAGCAGGGACAAAAGCTTGCTAACAAGGTGTAAAAATTAAGAGAGAGAAAGAGAGAGAGCAGCGCAGTGATTGAGCAAGCCCACACAAGGCATGCCACTACAAGCACACGCAGCGGGTGAAGCGAGAGAGCCGTGTGCTACAGACTTCGAACTAGCCCTAAGCCTAGCTACAATCACGCGTAATGTGTCAAGCTCAGGCCTGCCACAAGGCCAAAACCCCTGTTCGTGGGTACTTGTGACAAGGGAAACTACCCATGAATAAATACAGCTGGATAAGTCCAGAAATGCTTACTTCTCTTGCATTTCTGATTTAACAGGGATCGGATATAATAGGACTTTTTCTCTGGTCCCATCTTCCCTGTTATATCAGGTTTCCTCTGTATTTAGATTCAAATAATTTAGTTCTGATAATATAAAAAGTATCAAAATATCCTTTTCTTTGACATCAAATTAAAAAAAAAGAAATTCTATGTTCTAGAATCTGAATATGGTTGTTTGGGGGGTTTGTGGAGAATAAGGTTCCCCATCTCTTTTGTAAAATGAGACATGCCGAAGTGGAATCTGGCACTTTTCAATTTTTGGGCATGTGGGGTTGTTGGCATCATCTTAAAGCTAAATCATTGGTCTATTCTTTGATGAAAAAATATTACCCATTTAACTTGTCGAGATATTTGCGATTGATATAATTAACAAATGAAAGGTCGCCATAGTCTGGTGACTTCCAAAGCTTAAGAGCCCCGGGAAACGGAAAATTTGTATTTTTGTGCCTTTAATCGTTTTTCAGAAAAATTAACACAGAAACATGTTTTTTAATGGAGATGAAAGGTGTTGAGCCAATTGAACAAAACTTCAATACAAATTTCCAAACCGTCGGAAAAGTACACGTATCTTCAATTTCATTTCTTTGACGAGTGACTGATTTTACCAAAATGCCTCATAAATGCTTTGTTGTACCCTTCTATCCACCATTTTCCTTATGAGAAGAAAGTTAAAAATGCGGGTACTAGAGCAGAAACTAGTCTGAAGGATTGTATGCCTTCAAATCTGCAACAATTTTTAGCATGATGCTACTGATCTCTTTTTTCTTCATAAATTAAAAACTCATGAAGGTTGACATACAACAAGCTCATTAACCTTGACTTAATAGGAAGGCTGTTTGAAAATTAAACATCCAAGGTCAGTGGTAACAATATGCTTCATGTATGATACTAGCGTGTAGTTTTGGTAGTAAAGCTGTATGAAACCAAGTAGAAAGCAGGTGGATTCCGCTTAAATTGAAATTGGTTTAGCTGTGTTTTCAGTTAAGAGATATTGCTCAAATAGCGGTGACTGTTGACAGCATAGAGCTGGGAATGCCATGCTTGCGGCAAATTTGTCTTTTTGAAAAATGTTTCTCATCTACCCCTCTCAGTAACTGCAGTTTAAGCTGAAGGCTGCACGCATCATGCTTTCTCTTTGACATTGTCAGCTTGCTTAATCTGCCAGACAGTCACACAGAAATGATGAAAAAGTGGATCCACATCAGCACACTGTGTTCTGCACAAGGCTAAAGTTTAGTAAGTAATACAAACAACCTGACGCCACGTGTTTATGTATAGGGCCTTTGTGAGCTATCTTCGCAGAGACAAAGGCCTTCAACTTTAACAATAGTTCTTAGCAAAAGTATTTTTCGACACTTAGAGCGGTGGTTGGAGAGTACCGCTGGTAGGTCCTACGTCTTAAATTTTCCTCTGTTGTGTCTGTCTGTCTTACTTTTTCCCAATACCAAATAACCATCATTGTGTGCTTCTCTTTACTCAATAATAACAACGATGACATTAACAAAATTGACTTGATTTACTGAAAAAACATCAACAACCAATTGAGAACAAGTGCTTCAAAATGGGGGAAACAAAAGATAATATTTCTTCCATACCTGAACTCCCACTTCATTGGGATGTAATTTCATGGCCTGGACAATATGCTGATGCCCATGACAATCTACCACCTTGCGGCAGTTCTCTGGGTTCCGCAGAGTAATAGCAGTCAGCAGTTTACAGGCTGCCTCTGCAATGTGGGAGTTGTTCTGATGGGTGGTCATGGCTGTCACAACAAGCTCCACACCTCCAAGTTTACAAATCTCTTTCTTCACATCGTCATTGCCAGCAAGAACTTTCATCACAATAAGGGCTTGTCGGACAATCACCTGTGTATATGTATATATATATATATATATATATATATATATATATAATTATATAAGATTTAATGAGCTTTAAAATCTCTTATAGTGTTCACAAGGCAGCAATTAGATCTACAGGTTAAAACTTCAACTTTTTTTGTGGGATTAACATCGGTATATGGAAAAATTATATATTTGCCATCATTAAGCCTGGCGTCTGTAGTGTAGCAGTTAGACGCTTTGATGTCACATGCAGGACACCTGAGTTTGATTCACATGTGGGGAGAATTTTCATCAAGTTGTGAAGTATCTTGGTCTTTCGGTTGGAAGAGGGGGGGAGGGGGGGGGAGATTAGCTTACTAGATGTAAGATGCTCGTCTTTCATGTCAATAGCAATGCCAAAGGTTTGGTCCATGGGTTCTTAAGGCATGACATATGTATACATACAGTGGAGTCTGCTTAAGCCAAAATCTGTAGGGCCACTGGATTTTTTTTATGGTCTAACCACGTTTTTTGTTTAAAAAGGTAACTCAAATAGAAAGCTTTTTCTTTCCTAATCCTTACTATCGTCATTTTCCCTCTACTTCTTTTGTATGTTTGTCACACTCTTGCGACCCGCTATTTCCTTGCTCTGTTGAAGCTATAGAGGTGAGCAGAGTAAGTCTGATTCCCTGTAAGGACTTCTCTGTTGACATCCACCCCTTGGCGCTCAAATGACCTTATGCAGTTGCGAGCGCCTTAAAACCTCTACTAAACTGAATTAACTGTGTTTGGTTTAAGTAGACTCCACTGTATACATGTCTGTATACAATGGATGCAAAACTAAGGTTTCTTTTGCTTGTCCCTGCTTATTGGGTACCTTGTCTTTTCAAATGAGGACGAATAATTCTTGAGACTCTGTTTACAACATGCTGTGCAAGTAAGACTTTTTGGCATTTGAAAGGGCTACTGGGATGTCCCCGTTGTTTCATGCAAGAAAAATTTTGAAATTATGCAAACTGAGCCCAAAAATGTGAAATTATGCGATTCTGTTAATTTTAACAATGAATGAAAGATAAAGGAAAATAATCAGAAATTATGAAAAAATGATCAAATTTTGCAAAATTATGCGGGGTGCATAAAACCATGGGGACAGATTAGGGCAATATTCCAAATCTGGAGAAACTTTTGATCATAGTAAATTATACTGGTAATTGGTAATAAAGAATGCTTTCGGAAATGACACGACTGCCTTTCACTCATTCCCTACTTCCGTATCTTATTTTGCACCTAGCACCACTCGTGTCTGGTGCCTGTGAGCTTGACAAATTCTTACTTTCTTCCATTTCACAGGCTACAGACTTCCATAAATTACAATTTTGGGCTTAGATTACTTTTTCCCTTGTAATGTCTGATGATAAAAAAATGATTTCTATACATATTTTGATATTACAAAAACCCCCCATATTTTTCTGTTTACAGCCACAATGGAAAAAATAGCTGGCAAAATGGATCAGTCGCAGTGAGGAAAATGGTCTTGTAGGTACGTAAAGAGATGTGAGGCAAGGGATACTCCGCTCGAGTAGGAAAATACGTTTTTTTTTGGGGGGGGGGTTGGTAAGTGTTTTACCGCGCTCGCAACTGCATGAGGTCATACGAGCACGTGTGACACTTTAAACATTTTCAGATGGTAGGAAATTTTGAATTTTGCCCAGGTGGCATCTGAAGCCTACTCTTATCGATATTAGATCACCAAGAGATCTTTAACCTGCGCAAATTGCACACAGGACCTCCGAGATTTTTCGCCCTTGTCCGAGAAGGCTAGGTGTAGATCTGTCCTACCAGAAAATCAGGGATGTGGCTGAAAGACAGCAGTAAGAAGGAGCCAAGGAGTAGCAGTAGAAAATTTTTCCTGTCGCCACCTGGATTCGAACCCAGGACCTTTGAATGAGAGGCGAACACCTTAACCTCTAGGCCACAAGAGCCCCCAAATACATTATTCTCTCCCTGTCGGATTATGCGATTGTGCAGCCGCGGGCCGTGTATTGTAGCATGATTCTGCAACATTTGCATAATTTTTTATTCCCCGCATTTTAAAATATTTTTTTTTTCACAAAACAATTTAATGCCTCGCGATGTGACTAAAGGGAAGTAATCTCAGTAATAGCCTACATCTCATTTAAGTGACAAGTTGGTTATTTCCCTTGTTAGGGATTTTTGTTCCTTGAGAATGTTCAATTTTTCACTCCAACAAAAGTTGTTCTCATGTCTGCTGATGTTTCATGTTTGCCAGGTGTCTCTGGTTTTAGTGATGTGCCAGCATCAGAGGTCCAGATGTCGTTTTTTTAAATTAAACATTTTTCTTTCCTCTATACAGTTGAAAAGTTACAGAGATTATATTTTTTGGTTGTTTTTTTTTCCCCTGACTGATGTGTATCTTTCCAAATACACAAGGAACTACAGATACTGATATCTTCTGTTTCAGTTCTTCTGTACTTAGATCTAAAACATGAAAATTCTATTTGAAAAAGTGCAAAACATGTCGTGAATGGTGTTACAGTAACTTGCATAATTTTGCATTTGTCTTGCATAATTTGGCCATCTAAATTTGCATAATTCTGCGGGGGACAGATTATTTATAAAAAATAGTCATATAGGTTGAAGAGTAATCTATACTCAATCATCCCTGAGATTGCTGGTAACATAGAAGAAGAAAAGTTTTCAACACTGTCGATGCCTTGTAGAAGTAAAATAAAAAGTTAACGTCTGCATGTATTTCCTCAAAACTAAAAAAGACTTGGCAATGTAGAATAATTAGTAGTGCAGCCAATCACAGACTATGTTGCCCACCCTGTTTATGGAAAAACCAGGAAACACGTCTGAGTCTGATATGACAAAATCAGAAACAGAAGAACAGATGGAAGGGTACATAGTTTGTGTTGATCTTAAAAGGAAAGAACTAATTATGTTTTTTTGAAAGCCTTCTCTACTCCTAATACCACTCACACGAAATAGAATAGATCCAGTCATATGAACACCCATGTAAATAGACATACCTTATCTTTTATTCCACTCTCAAAAGCTTGAATGATGAGCTTGAGGCCTCCTCTGTTCATGACCTCTTCACAGAATTCATTTCTCACTGCCAAGCAGCTTAGAGTGAGGAACAGCTCGGCAAGCACTATTGGATTGTTCAAATGCTCTGAAAAAACAAGGAAAACAGGGCAGATCAAGTTTTGGATTACTATACAAATTTCGACAATATAATTCAAATCATTAAATGCCTTGGCCAAAGAATAATTTCTTTTTTCCAATTTTGGACAGCACAAATCGAGGACATTTGACACCACCAAGCATGTAGGCTAAGCTCAGCAGCCAGCTCTTGGTTCAGCCTAAATCATGATGTAAGCCTATATATTCTTCATTCACAGAATTTTAAAGAGAGTCCTGTAGTCTTATCTCCTATAGTAAATTGTTTGTTAATACAACCACTCAGTGCATTTAATTAAAAGAAAATAATCTTAAAACAATGTAAAAGAAAATAAGATTTTAAAATTCAGTACAAGGATGCATATGTATAAATGAATACCTCAGTCAAACTCTGCAGACAAGTCAAATGAACAGCGTATCGAGATAAATTTATATGAAAAAAAATCTTCTCTACCAACTGTTTATCTAACAAAGCGTAACATTAACAAACTGTGAGACCATCAGTAGATTCTTCTGTCTCAGCCCAGTACAAATAAACATTACAAGGAAAAAGACTTCAAAGTTCAATCTCAGTTGCAATTTAGTGTTAGCAATTATTATGATTATGAACAATGACACACAACTAGAGAAACCAGGACAGTCTGTCACTTTTTATTAAAAATTCAGATCAAAGCAATCCAAATTCAAGGACTGCATTCTTAAAGTGTTGACGTCAAGTTACATATTTTGTTTTGTACTGGTACACATTTTGAGGGTGAAAAATCATGACAATAGACTGGCAGTGCTCTTCCTTATATAAAAGTAAATCAACAAATAACAGATTTCAATACCTTCGCAGAGTGACAGAATAGCTTTCAGTGCATCCCCTTCTGTGACAATTGTCTTGGCAGTCTCATGGGCCTTCCCAAATGGAACTCGAACATCATCATCCAACGTAAGAGTTCTAAGACTGATGCAAATTTCTTTGACCAGTGTTGGGTTAGACTTGTGGGCAGTGAGGAGCTCAGTGGCAGTAATTATATAGTCATGTTTGACGAATTCTTGCCTGTTTGCCTCATGTTTGACACAGTTGAGCCTGATTGCCCTTACAATTAATTCCTCTGTTTCAGCACTCTCTCTATACTGCTTCAGAGCACTCATCAGTAATTCAATGCCTTTACAATCTATGAGATCAGGCTGTCCATTCACTAGGGCACAAAAAGAAGACAGCACCAGTCTAAAAGTGTCCGGCTCCTTTTCATAGGTGCAAAGGGCTTTGTACAAGACGTCATAAGCACCATTACTTCCAGCAAGACATCTTCGAGACAGATCAGTGTCACATTCTTTTTGTACATCTTGTAAGCAAGAAACTATTTCATCCTGAGCTGCACCTGGAGGACCCGCAAGACAGGCATCCAATTTCTTCACAGCAGTAACAACTGGGTGGTCATGTGTATCTCCACTATCTGCACTCTCAGTATAAAGTGATGGATCCTTAACAATGATGCTTAGGTTCACACCCTGGCAAAAAGAAAGCAAAACAAAAGTAAGATGGTGAATTTGGGGCACACCAGTCTCATTTGAATATGGGGTACAAATACATGTGTTGCTGAAGTAGTACTCTTTCACCAGAGGAATATCAAATACATTGAAAAAAAAAAATATTCCAAGAGCACACACAAAAAAGAATTAGCATCACTGCTCATATTCCTGCATTATAGAGGAGAGACTGAGGTGTTATTTCATTGATAATACCTGTAAGCTACAGGAGGGATAAAGGGAGTACGATGATCTAAATTCCATGTGGTTTTCTGAAAATCTAGACCTCTTTATGGAATTGTCATGGCAAGGATCTATCTGTGGGACTGCTTTAAAGTGCTGCGATTTTATCCACCTGCCTGGGTTGGGGAGAGTTGGTGGGCTACATTTAGGCGAGCTTATCAGAGAGTGAAATGGAAAGGTCCTGATCTGCATAATCTTGCCTGAAAGGTTAAGTCCCCGTTCTTTAGTAGGAAACATAGTTATAAATGAGACATCCGCTGTGAAGTGGGCGGAAGAACCTGCTGAAGGCTTAACTTGAGCTTTGGAGGGTAAATGGAAAAAAAAAAAGACTTCTTTGGGTTTTTTTTTAGAAATCCTGAATAACTATAGCTTCTTCTCTTGGAAAGCCTAAAGAAACTGCTTTGCATTTGAAAAAAGAAGTTTAAGAAGTCAAGTTTCTACACATAATAGACTGGTTCCTGTGCAAAGAATTCAAGTCTGACATAATGCAGAAAGAAAATCTTTATCCAAAAAGTCCGAGCTGCAACTTTGTAGGCCCCACAAAAAATGTTTTGAAGACAAGAGAAAATATAAAACATTCGAAACTGGGTTAGATGCATTAAAAACAAATGTACTATATGGATGCATTGCCTTACACAAAGCAACAGATGTATCAAGTCTCAGGGGTGAATATCTTTCTAACAACAGGCTTAGTGCTGGCAGGAAACGAGACTGGGCTTGACCTTGCCACAGAGGCAAAGTGGGCAACAAATAAAAATGCACTTTTGACGAATAACCATTAGTGTGCCTTTTTCTAAGGAACTCATTTGCAGGTTAGGCAGCCTTTTTTTCCCATTTCAAGAATAACACTTTAATCTACAGTATTGACCATATGAAACCAGTCAAGAGAACAGTGGCTTTGACTTCTTCTTTCTTCAGTCAAAGTGTCTTTAATAAGTCCAACATCTATTGCCCATATGACTACATTAAAACTAAGTCTGCTCCAAGAACTGTTAAAAAATTTCAACGTTGCCCATAATAGTTGATCACAGAATCATTTAGTGGGCAAGGATCAATTCTAAATTATGCAGTAGTGGTGCATAGAGGCAGCTAATGAGGGCTTGAGTCCACCCTCCCTTGAACTCTTTCCCTAAGAAAATGAACGTTTCTTAATTAACAAAATAATCTGTTGAAACCATTATGATTCATTTAGAATTACCTGCCTCAAGTTGCACACAGCCATGCTTTTTGTTTAATTAATCACTATTTATCCCCAACTACAATTGTAGTAACCTAACAAACAGCATATTTATTACCTTATGCAGTTGCAAGCGCCGTAAAACCTTTACTAAAACTAACTAATAAACAGCCAATCAAATGTATTAAGGGCTCAGCAAAGGATGAACCCGTTCATTCCATACCCTTTCATATGAAAATTTTCTTGTAAAAAGGTAAAATATATTTTTTTTAAAAGAACTTGCCAACAACACAGCAAAGAGGGGTTGAAGAGCTCTCTGAGCCCTGACAATGGGGTAACACACTTTGTTCAGTGATACACGGTTACTTTAGCGCTCGTTGGACCTTCATTAGGAATGTCTTTCTACTGTGTGTTTTCACAGACACAATGTTTGAAATGCTTTGAGTATGTTTGTGCAGCTGAAATTGATCAGTTGTGAATCATGTCAAACATTATTACTATTAAAGGGAATCCTTTTTATCACCTGATTTCAGATGAAAAGTTGGAGTTGCTAGACGATTTCAAATAAGAACAAAGAGATGGAAGACTAAGACCACTTTTCTTGTCTGAGTGAGTGGTTATCAAAATGTCTGTGGCTCATCGTGAGTTCACAAAAATCAGCACAGTTTTTCTTTTATTGCTGATTGATGGTTTTCCTCTGCCCTTGATGTCAAGTGCAAGCACACACCCGACCACCCATATCACTTAAAAAAATTAGAGACACATGCACACATAAAATCATACAAAAACCAACACCTACTTGCGCACATATAAACTTACACGAATTTCTAGGCTTTCCTCCAAACTGAGGAAATCATGATTTTTTAACTCAACCCTTCCTCATTTTTAAGCCCCACCAACATTTTGATCCACCCATCATCACTGAAATTACGCCAGGGCAGTTAAAATTTGAACTATTCTACTTCAACATTCATTTTTGAAGGTTCTCTTATGATGTAAGATTATACTTACCAGTATCAGAGAAGATTATAACATGCTCCTAATTCCCCGTAGCCTACTGAAGTATGGTAGTCAAGCCCCTGCATATGTTTAATGCAAACCATTGTTTTACCACATGAAAGTGGGATAAATCCAATTCTATATATTGAAGTAGCTAGCTGAACTTAAGTACAGCTAGCCTGCCAGTCTAGCCGTACTTAAGTTAGGCCCAATTGACCGAAACCTGTTGAGTACACAGGTCTCATTAGTAATTTAGTAATTATTCAGGTTTCAAATATGCAAGTCAGTAAGGCACCTTTGGTTTCGTTTGAAATACAAATATTTTAGGCATTGCAAATTAAAATTTTGTTTACAATTCAGCCATCATTATTAAGTACGGCTAGCCTGCCAGTCTAGCCGTACTTAGGTTAGTATATTGACCGAAAACTGTAGAGTACAGAGGTCATGTTAGTATGAGTAATTATTCAGGTTTAAAATACATGCACTGTCAGTAAGGCACCTTTTGACATATTTTAGACTGCAAACAAAAAATTTATTTACAGTTCAGTATTTTGTTGTTGTTTGTCAGTCTAGCCATCATTATTAAATACGGCTAGCCTAGCCGTCCTAAAGTACGGCTAATCTAGCAGTCTAGTCGTCATTGAGTACAATTCAGTATTTTTTATCTTTTTGTTTTGTCAGTCTAGCCATCATGATTAAATATGAGTATGACTTGCCTGCAGTCTAGTCATCAAAAGTAAGACTAGCCTAGCCGTCTAACCGTCATTAAGTACGGCTAGCCTGCCAGTCTTAACAACCATCCTTAACTACGGCTAGCCTAGCCATCTAGTCGTGAATACCAGTCATTTCGTCCAGATAAAGGGCATAATAGAGGACCTGACCCTTTTCAACGGAAAATTTCAGCATTCCTTATATAAATATGGAAAATGCATTTGGGGTGGGTTACTTCCGGGGCTGCGCTTCTAGGGTTAGTACAACAATTTTCGAGAGATAAGGGACGTCATTTCGTCACATATAATCGGGGCGTGACAAAATGACAGTGTGACCAAATGACCGTGGTTAGGCCTACCCTAGCCGTAATTAAATACGGCTAGCGTCTTCCATTCTAAATATTATCCATTTGAGACAGCGAGCCTTCATTTCAATATGACACCAATTCATTTTTTAAATGACAATTAAGTTAAAAATATCAAGAATCTAGATCTAGATTCTTGATGGTTTTCCATTTTGGAAAGCACTTTTGCTCTTCAGAAGTTTGATCTAGATGATCTAGATATCTACTTGATGAATCAAATATAACTATTTTTTTGAAGAACAGTACGATACCTGTGATTCAAATTGCTGGATGGCATCCTGCACCGCCTCCTCAGCTTCCATTTCAAATTCTCTCATATTCTCCCTCACAACATCATCAAATGTCTTCTGACTGATTTGTTTAGCCATGATCTTGTATTACCAACTCACTTCTGCAAAATACACAATGAAATGAAAGGGGATCACTGGATGTTTTGGCTCTAGTCAGAGTTGAATAATCTAGATCTATATATTATATATATATATAGAAAATCTATCTAGATTAAGATCTAGATCTAGTCTAGATCTAGATTAGTATTGTAACTTTTCCGTCATTATCAAAAATACAATCTTCGCAATATTTTTCTCAAGAAAGTCACATGTTCATTATGGTTACAGCTCTATATAATTAAAGGTGGGCCATATATTAGACCTGTAACAATATAATAACACTGATAGAAGGCTACTTAATTGAAGGCTGATACTGAAACTCTCAGTACATTCAATGTTTTCATGAAAATGTATAGGCTACCCACTCAGAAGGAGTGTCTGAGTAATCTCTTTGTATTACTCATTATAGTTATTAGTCATAGATCTAGAATCTAGAATCTAGATATAATCTATATCTAGCTCTATCACAATCTCTGTCAGAATTTATAAGGCGAGTCTCGAGTAATCTCAAAAATAAAAATTATCAAGGTATTACTCATCTCAGATCTTGATCTAGAATAGATCTAGATTCTAGATCTAGAATCTAGATATCTAGAATCTAGATATATCTAGATCTAGATTTTCTAGACTAGATCTGGAGCTCTTAAAAATTTGTCTGAATCCACAATTCTGAGTTTTGACTTTTGAGTCTGAATCAGTCCTAGACTTAGATGGTGATATACCAGATCTATTTATAATATTTATAACTGTAGGCCTGACAGATAGATCTAGATAGTATATCTAGATCTAGATCTAGATCTAGATCTAGAGATCTAGAATCTAGTTTCTAGAGTCTAGATCTAGAAATCTAGACGCTTTTTCGGTAGTTCCAACCCCGCTGCAATTGTCGCAGGTTTTGGCCCAAGTAGTAGACTAGATCTAGATTCTAGATCTAAGAAAAGAGTAGGGGGGGGGGGGGAACCGTCATATCTAACTTTTCTTACAAGTTCTGGTAACTTGACAAGAGACAGACAAAAAGGGTTAGGCCTAATTGTAATGTCCTGTTGGCTTACCTTGTAAGAGTTTAACAGAAACCGTCCATTCAACAGAGCGTCGAGCGTTGCTGTGTGTAAACAATACAACCGTTGTGATCGTTTTGGACACAGAGCTGCATGCTTCGGATGTTTAAGCCGGATGTGTAAGCTGTTTAGTTTCGAATTTTGCAGTCTCTGTATTATTATGATACATCATGTCATGTAGTTCAATAATGTCATTATTAATCTCACAGTTGGTAGGTTTGAAGCTCAAGTGCAATTCTGCCGTGATCTGACAAAACGCATTTTTCTCAAAATCAAGGTTTCGAGATAATCGCGATTGAGTGTTTTTTGCTAATTAAGCAAACAAATATAATGTTGTTTTTGTTTGACTATCCCACATAAAAGTATATATCATTTACCATGACTGTACCAAATTTGATTGAATTTGAGCTAAAGACAAACAAACAAACAAGAAGAATGCATTTTATCAGATCTTTCCTGTAGAAATGCGTTTTATTTTCAACGCATTAATCCCAGAATGATCTAACAAAACGCATTTATTTTCTGCGTCCCGTTAACTGTGATCCGGTAAAACGCATTTAAATGCGTTTTATCAGATCATCGCTAGAGAAGTCGTGTGTCTTGCTTCCAAATTCACTGCCGGTTAAACGTATTTTCTACGGCTGAAAAAAGGTATTAAAATTTCTTGTTCAGATTCTGTTCTACAGTGTACATACAAAAGCTTTTACTGAAGAAGAAGAAGAAGAAGAAGAAGAAGAAGAAGAAGAAGAAGAAGAAGAAGAAGCTTGTTGTTGTTTCGTCTTAGTCTTTTTTGACACTTGAGATGTTTGGCAGTAATTTATTGATACTGCTCACACCGGTAATGGTAACGAAAGATTCGGTCACTTTTATCCAGCTATTAATTCTGGTGAGTGAATATTCTCTTCGGGGATTTAAATAAGTATGGAATTCGTTTCTTGACCACCAGATTATTGAGAAAACATGTGGTGACTCCTTCAACATGAATGCACAACAACTGTTCAAAGAACTTATGAAAAGGTAAGTTGCAATCATGTTATTTTCATTGCATTTGAGGGAGATTTGATTAAGTTGTTGTGGCTCCTGTTTTACCAGTCTTGAGTCGGGAACATTTTAATGGTCTGGAGTGACTGTAGAGGTAATGATTATGAAGAAGGCAAATAAGTGACATGTCTTTTTAGTTTATTTTTGACACTGGCACCACAGTTGACAAGTTTGTCTAGGTGTCAGACTGTTGTTAATATTAAATGGACTATTCAGCCAAATCATAAGGACACCTCCACTACTTATTCGTTTTTAAACACGAGCCTTTCAGGAAAATCGTCCAAGAGCATAAAGACGATCACAGCTCTTTCGAAAGTTATGAACCACCCTTGATAAAACGGTAAAAACGTCGGCGTTTGCAAGAAATCCAAAGATCAGCAGCCACAGCAGCCTCTGCTATAGAGGTTCCAGCTTTCTCTGGTGCTGAGGTGATCACTGGTCCATCAGATCCCCATGTTCCTACCCCTGTAAAGAGTGCACGTCGACGCCTTCATTTTGGTGACGATGATTCTGGTGAAAGTGAGCATCTGTCAGAGAGTTCAGGTGTGTCAAATCCATTCGCTGACTGGAGCGAAAACAGAGAGTTCGCTGATGTTGCCATTTGCAACATCAACACCAGTCCATTGTCCCTTGACTCAGCATGAACCAACTTCAACGCCGATGGTGGGAGAGCGCAGGTCTTTGTCTGATCTCCTGTCTGAATTTGACAATGTTCCATCTCCTTTGTCACCGATGCCGCCTTTGCAAAAATCATTTGAAGAAAGAAAAGTTATTCTCGAGAATACAACTTTTCATTTCTCAAATTGTCTCTTATCCAAAATGCAGGCGAACCACCATTCTGTGTCTCTGGGGAAAGGTCAGTCTGTTGCATCACCAGTGCAACCCATATCAGCAAGCCCAACAGACTTTCTGCCATTGTCGCCATCTCAGTACATAATCCCTTTATCACCAGGTCAACTTGAGGGAACCTCATCTACCTCAGATTAGCTGTATCAGACTCAACCCCCTCGTCCTCAGATCAGCTGTACCAAACCGCCTTGTCTCCATCGCCCACGATAACACCCGTTGCATCTGAAAGACGAGAAGTACCACATTTTACTCTTAAGGAAAAGCACACTATTCTTCCTCCATGCAACTGTAGAATGACTGCATCGTGAAAATCCCTCCACCAAGACGTCAAGTAATTCATGAGGAGTTTTGGAGTCAACCCTATCATGATCGCCGAAATTGGATTTTTCAACACCGCTCGAAGACTAAAAGTGACTTTTCCAAATTCTCGTGTACGCTCTCAAAAGACTGCAGTAAACAGGTCGTCGTCTGCTCTGTGTTTCTTTCTGCACACCTTCGGATACATCCAATTCCGTATTTAACAGTTTAAAAATCTCAGGTGCTTTTGCAAGTGACTTGTTTGCCCCTAGAGACAAAAGGGGTGCAAAAACACCTTCCCACGCCTTGACGGGAAGACATAATTGCCGCAATAGACTCACACATTGAAGAGTTCCACCCTTCAGTGAGCCACTACAAGCGAGAACATGCACCTAATAGGTGGTATTTGTCATCGGACATAACCATCCGAGAAATGCACTCCTATTTCACAGAGACGTATGGCTCTCTAAAGGTAGGGTACCAATCCTACGGTAGGCGAGTGCAGCTAAAGAATATTAGATTCGTCGATCTTGGAAACGAGATGTGTGAGATGTCTGACTTTCTCACACCATGAGCTCCAGCCGCCCGCACTGGACACAGACTTGAGACGTGTCAACTGTACACACCCCACAAGAGACGGGTTGCATCAAACCGTAAACAGTAAGACAAAAATAGAGAGCAAGGCCCTGAAGTAGGGTTCGAGATCATTGTATCGGCGGACATGCAAAAGGTCGTTTTGTTGCCTTTCATGCGGGGCGTCAAAAGCTGCGTCTTCAGAAACTGCCAAGTAGCTTTCCACTGGACGTTCGCACCCTTAGGACAGCAGGCGAAAAAGAAAAGCCCAAAGCAAGTCAGATCTGTCCTCTGGCATGAGGCAACGTCCGGAAGGTCTGCCTCCGACGTTACTTCAGCTTTTGTTAAAGCAATTTGTGACATGGCTGAGGATGCAAAAGACATCATTATACGGTGTGATAATTGTTCAGGCCAAATAAAAATTGTTATTTGTTCACGTCCCTGGCAAGGATTACAAATTAACTATTCAGACTTTGTAAATTGGCACAAAAAGGTCACCTCAGCGAAGCATGTGAACATACTACGTATCAAACAGATGCCAGCAGTGAGTTTTTTTTATCTGTGTATTGACCATACGTCAACTGTGATCTGATGAAACGCATTTTTGTCCTTCTCGGGAAGAAAAAAATGCGTTTTATCAGATCACAGGTGATGTGAACGTCGATACGCACGAAAAAAATGCGTTTTGTCAGATCACATTGGAAATAAATGCGTTTTAACAAATCTAAAAAGCTAATTTATTTAAAAACTAGTCGCAGTTAGGCTTGCATAATTATATCTCAAGTTAGCTTTCGACATGTAGAATTCATTAGTGGAATAAAAAATTTCCCCGCCAAAATGAAAAAATGCGTTTTGTCAGATCACGGCAGAATTGTGGTGGATTATTTACTCCGTGTAAATTTGGCCTGACTTCTAAATGAAAATCTATGCAAAGAACTTTCATGTTTCTTCATCCCAAGACGGAATAAGCTTCATCCCAAGATACATTAAGACAAGACGGGACAACAGCCCTATTTCCGGTTCTAGATGACGCCCCCTAGAAACAGTAGATGCGCGTTAAGAGCCTAAACAAACGCCACACGACAAGAAGAAAATGCGCGCCGTTTAATTCGACAGCTGCGATTCCCACGTTAGTAGAAGTTTCGTCATGTCATTTTTAAAGTGGAGTGATTAGAAATTATTTCTATTTACATTTTGAACATAGTAAATGAGTTGATAATTAATATTTTGCTATGGAAAATGGCAGTGAAGTGAATGTGTTCAATGTCAGCATGGAAGTAGGACTAGATCTAGATCTAGATTTAGGCTTAGGTGCAAATGAAACTGTAGATCTAGTTGATCTTCCACTTCGGCCTAAAGGTAAAAGAAAAAAGGCGAGCCAGTGGTGCTCTGCAGTGAACTTTTCAAACGCATGATATAATAGACCAGATATTTCGTGTCTTTTTTTTGTTGTGGTTTCCTAAGGACAAGGTGAGGTGCCAGAATATTATTAGGAATAACTTGTTGAAGCACGATTTTTTTCAACAATGACGGTGTCGTGTCCTGGCGTGTGGTCAGAGATTTCTACGAGAAGGACCAAACTTTTCAACTTAGGATGGCCCCCAAAACGTACCCAAAAGCACATTGCTTTACCCACGTTTTCTCATTTGAAGGTTAGTTTAGCAGCTCAAGTTCTGAGTCACAGTGCTGCTGCTGGGATAACATTCCTCTGTCAAGTGAATGTGTTTCCTCCTGAGCACATGGCCTCATCTGTTTTCCTAGACAGATTTGACAGTCTTTTCATTGCTTTAAACACAAATGGAAGCAAGTCATCAGAACCTTATAAGCATTCCATAACACCAACTTCATCCCACATTCCCTTTTTGAAAGACACCATTTGTTGGTTGAGGAAACTTATTGAATATATGTCAATGAAGCATCCCAGAAGCCAGCAGAGATCCTTCCTTGCGTTAAAGGCTAGATACAAACGATTCAAGCCCTTTTAGTTTTAATATAGAAAACTGTTAATGGGGACGTGAAATTCTTACTTAGCAACAGGTTGAACCAGGACTGCGTAGAGAACCTTTTTGCAGGCATCAGAGGTAAAGGCGGCCATAGAGATAATCCTGACCCCCAAGAGTTCCGCATTGCTTTTCACCAGATAATGGTTGATAAAGTCCTCCTGACCATTCCTGGTATGAACTGTAAGGATGAAATTGATTACTTCCTACTCAGTTTTGCCCCCAGCAGGCGTACCCCAAATGTTATGCCACCTGTATTCTCAGAAGGTAGAGTACAAAATAAGAAGCAGCCACCAGTGACTAATCTCATCAAGTCACTAAAAATAGAGGACCTGGTGCAGCTATATGACTAGAGAGAGACTAAAGAGTAGGCTAAGCTATGGCCCCGCCTGAGCAAAATTAAAAATTCTTACCAAACTGAAAAAGTGTAATGTGCCCGGCCTGTTCATATGAGACCTATGCTGTCGCAGGGGCAGTAAAGCGCCCCCCCCCTCCTAAAAAAGAAAGAAAAGAAAACACGCAAAAAAAGTGTTTCAAGTGATCTGAAAGAATTTTTTGGGGATCACCCAGCACTGATTTCCCCTTTATTTCTTCATCAGTTTGAGACTGATAAGTTCCAATTTTAAAAAGTTAAAAATTACATTACCATTGCCTTCATATTGATTTGGGGGGGAACCCCCCCCCCCCCAACACACACACACACACACACACACACACACACACACACACACACACACACACACACACACACACACACACACACACACACACACACGCTCACTCACACTGTAGACCTGAGACTGCATCTATAGGCTATGTGGCGCTTTGACTCCACCTCTGCAGAACTGACTAGATAGAGTAGTGAAACATATTTAGTATTTAATTTTTTTAAAAATTCAAGCTTCTCATCAGAATTAAACCAATCCAAATATGTCAGGCAATATTCAACTTTATTGTATGAAAACTAGATGTGGGATGAATGTCATTTAACTCTATCCAAAAAAAAAAAATTAGTTTTAAAATCTCCAGTAGATGTACTCACTAAAACTGTTAGATCTAATCAATCAAGCACTTATATTTCTCTTTTATGAAATGAAACTAAATGAGTAGACCTATATTCTATGTATATATCTATGACTTTTGCAATATTTAGAATCTAACTAGTAACTGCACACGTGAGAATATGGGCCTCCACAGTGTATTATTTATTGTGAGCACCGGTCTTTTGTATAGGCCTGCTGTAAAACTCTGTGTTACAATCTAAGTTTTTCGCACTCCTACCAAAAAATTATAATTTATTTCTGATGTTTAAAAAAAATGGGTTATGAATTATCGGAAGGCTGACTTTGGTTCTTAAAATAGCATAAGTTACCTATACGGGTACCATGGGAATGCATTGTGCGCTGAGCAATTTGAACTGTACGTAGGCTACTGCCTTTGGAAATCTGCATCTTGAACAATTCTAGTGCAGAATGCTGTGGCCATGCTGTTTACTGTTCCAAACCCTCCAAAAAAGATAATTATTGTTCCCTCCAGGCCAGTTCCAAAGGATACAGGTCCTGTCCATGACAAAAGATCTAATAATAGATCTAGTGTCTGCAATGTGATGTGAGAGTTTTGAAGAAGAAATTAAAAGTGGAAGAAAAAAAAACCCTTGACATCTAAGAAGACAATTAAAGTCCTGCTGTAATAAATGTACTACGGAACACATGTAACCAAATTAAAAAGACAAAGAAATTACAAAGCTTACTTAATTATTATTAAGTAAGGAAGTGCTAGCTTGACCCTGTCAGGACCACCCTTGAATTTTGTAATGTCCCAAATTTATGTGCCTGACAGAGAAGTATGGACATAATAATACAAAAGAATCAGCAAGAGACAATGCATACAGCAAAACAGTCTAAGAAAGACTGTAACATTCACCCACTTAATTGTAAGAGCCCGTTTCAGTAAAATGCTATTAATCCATGAAAGATGCATTATACATGTTTACATATATATGTGTATATATATATATATATATATATATATAGGCCTCTGGTGAGTTCGATCTGTCGCTTTGTATCCCTGTTTTTATCCATATATGCCTAGCCTAAACTACACAAAACGAAATCTGTTTTCTATTTCTACAGTCTGTTGCCTTTTCTCACCAATGCCTATAGGCATATAGATCTATATGCTATTGCATGCTCTCTTTCTTTCCTCTCCAACTCTTCCCTACCCACAGACCCCGTGCAGGGCTATGTAACTAATTAGTAAAATAAGTAAAAATGTATTATAACTTGGCCTAGATCTGGAATTCAATTTTAAAATCTGTTGTCCTGTTTTCATCAACATGTGTAACCTTTTCTGAAGACCAGAAGGGTATAGAATTGTAGAAGCATTGTTTACAAATGCAACCTTGGCCAGTTCTCTGATTGCGCTAGGCCTAAGCCCCGCAAGACGCGACGCGCTTCGCTGTCGATACCGCGCCTGGTTATTTTTAGCTCGCGTCTCAGCGGTCACGTTCGCAAATGCACTGTTGTCACGGACCGCGAGGCCTCGTTTCCTGTCTCTATATTTTAGTGTCTCTGGCCCACTGAGAATTCTGTGCTCTGGCCATAGCCTCTAAGCCTAGTCTAGTTGCACTTTCGTTTTCACATTCACGACTCAGTGAACGACGCTTTTCCCCCTGGCATTTTTGCCATGTTGTTTCAACGCCTCTTTTTTCTCTTAATCCAGAGCTATTAAATACCATACTTGTATTGACAAAGATGGGTGTTGTTGGCCTATGGGACATTGTTGATGCTGTGAAAGAAGATGTCAATCTTTCAGAATGCAGTGGGAAAAGGTTTGCTGTTGACCTAAGTGCGTGGATCGTGCAGTGTTCCTCTTCTGTCACCGCTCCCCGTGTGCCAAGCCCAGACTTCTGTCGCAGGTATCATTATAATCATATTGCCATTGATTTACTTTAATTGACTTTGCTCTTTTTCTTTTTCCATAAACCGGTATTACCAGCAGCAGAGAGGAATGCCCTAACGATCGACCACAATGAATATATCATATTTATGCCCTATAGAAGGTCTAGAAATCTAGTTTATATATATGCAGGCGAATATGATGCAGGTACAATATATAGGCTCTCGTGGCCTAGAGATTAAGGTGTTGGCCTCTCATTCAAAAGGTCCCGGGTTCGAATCCGGGTAGCGACAGAAAAATTTTCTTCTCTAAATTTGTCTCCTTTCACCTCATTTCCTGCTCTCTAGCAATGTTCTGTCGTCTGCTTTCGTCTCCTCTTCCTGCCCCACCCCCTCACCTCCTTTGCCCCTTCCTCTGGGCTCCTGATTCTTTCTGCAGCCTTTCTACTGCTACTCCTTCGCTTCTTCGTACTGCTGTCTTTCAGCCACACCCCTGATCTTCTGGTAGGAAAGATCTACACCTAGCCTTCTCGGACAAGGGCGAAAAATCTCGGAGGGCCCGTGTGCAAGTTGCGCACGTTAAAGACCCCTTGGTGGTCTAAAATCGATTAAGAGTAGGCTTCGGCCGCCACCTGGGCAAAATTCAAAATTTCCTACCAACTGAAAATATTAGGTGTGTCCTGCGCGCTCATATGACCTATGCAGTTGCGAGCGCCGTAAAACACTTTACAGAAACAAACAAACAAAAACGATGGTAAAATATAAGTCGCGCAAGACCACTGTGCACCACCACTTTCTGTACGTTATAAGTGACTCTTACTTGAAATTATCTTTCAAACCCTCAAACTGGTATGAAATAACCTTGCTTTGATAAATTGATGGTTTTCATTTCAACATTCTAGGGTCCAACGGTATAATAATAGTGGGTGTCTCGCCAAAATGGGCTTCTATCGCGATCGCGCGGAAAGTTCCTCCTTTTTAAAAATTCTGAGTTGAGACCCATGATTATGTACATCGCTGTCTTTGATCTAATTTATGACCCCCCCCAGGGCTGTCTACAGCCATCTTCAAGCACAGACAAATCGTGACCAATCAGGCTAGACTTACAGTAGACTGTCGAGATTGCAGCAGATCATGGTCAATCGGGTTGGACTTAAGGTAGACCACCGTACTGCAGTAGTCCATCATACCAAACCAGCCTAGCAGATTCTTTGTACCTATGTTGGTGAGACTATGAAATAATTTCTTGTCTCCTGTTTGACTTAGTATTTAAGAATTGGATATCAAAATACTTATGGAATAAATTAAATGTTTTATGATGTAAGGGTTAGGCTACCTTTTATCCAGGGCATATATTTTATATTCCTTGTTCTTGGGCCAAAACATTTTTGATGAAAAGAATGTAAATGCATCAGGGGCGGCTCGTAGAAAAAGCGGGCGTGCACAGTTTTAGCTATCTCAGGCTGAAGATAGTCAAGGGCATAGTAAATGGGATGGTGTATAATTTTAGGATCTTTGGGTTGGTGAAGGAAGACCTCTATGCTTTTATTGTCATTCTTTTTACTTGTGGCTTTGACTTCTAGAACTAAATCTATTTGTTAGCTAAGCGTCAATTTTAGACATCCTGCATTAGAAATGAACACTCAAGTAATACCTTTCACCACTCCACTACAAAACCATTCAAAAGCACAACTCATAGGATGGTGATTTAAGTATGTCACGTTCACCTCCCTCAGGTTCACGGTCACAGAGTCGCTTAAAATAGTGGCAAGACAATGAACCAATCATAATTCACTTGAGCACTCTGCTGGATTGCTCTGGGGCTCACATAATTGTGGCATAGAATAGTGCACAGTCTATCGCGTTTATTTTTAGATTGCCTACTGTGGGCTATGTTTCGGCACTATTCTGCAGGAGCACATTTGAGATGTGCCGTCTTTTTAATATTAATGTACCGCCAAACTCTCTACCAGTATCGTCATCGTTTGGGTTATCCCAAAGAGCAATTTATAGGTCAGGTTTTGCTGTTAAATATCCTGTTATGTTTAGATACAGGGCATGAACTTTGGCATGGCATAGTAGATGTTTTACGGCGCTATAGACACAGAAATGACAAATACGGCGCCAGCGAGGACCTTGTTTTGATATATTTGGCTAATGTTTGTTTCTGGTGTCTTTTATCTTATTATTGTGGGTGCTTTACATAATAGAACATTAAAACATTTTGAGCGGCACTGCATGACCGTGCTCTATGGGGGAACCGCGCCTGAAATGCATGTTTATACAAGACATACGTTATTATATTGTGGGAGGTTAACCTGATTTTGACAGAAGATGGATTCCCTTTCTGGCTTTGCAAATGTGGTATAGCTATGGCCTATGACTGTTTTTTATTAAATAACTACCTTCCCTGGTGCCTTTTTTCTCCTTTTGAAATGTACATCCAGGCTGGCGGTTTTCTTGCCTACTCATAACACATATGCCAGCATCTAACTCAGAAAAGCCTTTACTAGTGTTTCAAACTTTTGGTAGTAGTGTAATGATCTTGTTTTCAGTGTGTACCATGTAAGTGTTAGTGTTAGTTTAGGTGCTTGGTTATTGGTAAGGTAATGGTAAACATGGAGAATAGCTTACATGCTGAAGTCTATAAAGAGTCTTTAAAGAACAGAACGTAAGTGAGTGATGGTAAGTACAGTATTCGTCACAGATTATGCTTGTAATTAGGCTTGGCGGTTCAAGCTAGGGCATATATATAAGAAGTTGAGAGTAAATGTCACAAAGCTCTACATATGCTGCAGCTATCACTGTGGCACAATCTGTTCAGAAATTAGCAGGCATAGTCACCGAATGCTCTCCCCATTCTCTTGGGTTTTTAGACTTATTTCATGGTCACTTAGTTTGGCTTGTTTCCATCTATTTGTTTTGCGAAGCTCAAGCTGACCAGCTGTTCTTGTGATTGATTCAAATTACTGTCAAGAATATTACATTTTGGGCATTGAATGACATTTTCGCTTCTTAAATTAAAGCACGATTCCTGATTCCTTTTTTTAGTCTTTGTTTGATATTTGAATGAGAAAAAAGCGGGGTTTCCGATAAATTTGAAGTGCTACTATAAGTGATTGTATTTTCCTTATTAGGACCATGATTGCTTACATTTATTGCACTTGTTGAAACTTCATGTCATTCTTTCATGTGAAATCTATTGGGTTGAAAAGATCTTTGTGTTGGAGAGGATGGCAGACTAAAAGTGTACTTTACCTTTCATGCTCTATTGTATCAACAGGAACATTTTTCATAGATCCTTGAATTTAGTGACTTATGGTATTTCCCTGGTGTTTGTTATGGATGGACCCGTGGCACCACTTCTGAAAAAGAGAAAGAGAGGTCAAGAATATTATAAGTCCGCTCTCCAGGTTTGTAGTATTTTGAATAAAATTCTTGTTGAGAGGTATGAGACATCTTTTTAAAAGACATCTGAAATTCTTCCGAGAATAAATTAGAGCATGCTAGCAGGGTGCAGGTTCTGATACTAATTGGTCGATTTGAAGCACAAGCAGGGGGCTATCCGGAAAAATGCTGTTTTGAGAAAATCAAAGGTAAAGTTATTGGACCCTTGTTCAGTTTCTTTAAAAGACAAGGAGAGTTTTCTCTATAACGAAACAGATATACACACCAATGAAACCAAACTTCTGCTATAGGTAAGGCAATGCCCTCTTTTGGTGTAGATGAAGTTTTCTGGAAACCTCTGAAACTTCTTACTTTTTTAATCATCTGTTTTTATGTCTCTAAAATTTGTGGAAAACATGGAAAAGGAACAGTTAATTGGCATAATAAAACAAAGAACAAACTCTGGAGGTTCAAGTTCTTTTAAAAAAAATAATTAAAAAAAAACTTTATTCCCAACCCACCTGTGATAACTTTTTGGTTCATTTTTTGAATCTTTATTTTTCTGAAAAGTGTGAGGTCATGGTGTATATGAAATATGAGCTGTAGGTTTATGGTGCATTAACATATTTCTTGTGACTGTGAGACTTGCATGTTGTGCTATGCATTGGCTTTCCATTTGTTTTATTAATGCATAAAAAGATTAATGTCAATCTCCTTCACAGATACATAACACCATATTGCTGAAATAAGATTTTTTAATGGTTATTTTTCTGTTCATAACTGTTGATAGCTGTTTCAGTATTGATGCTGCCTCCTTTTGTGTAAAATCGTAGACATTGAAAAGAATCTAACCTAATCTTAAATCTAAAATGTCAATGGGATTTTAAATAAATTATGTTGTTTACGCTAGCTCATGGATGTCATTTTGAATAACTCATTATGAATTATGTGTGTGTATGTAAAGGTTTTTTCCTCTGAATCGTTTCACAAGTACAAGGAGCTCCTTACTGCAATGGGATTCCCAGTCATAGATTCTGTAGGAGAAGCTGAGAAAATGTGTGCTGAATTGGATCGCATGAAGGCAAGTTTACTCTGTTCTCTATTTATCTTCTGTTGTCTTGACATTTTGTTTGATTTTAAAACAGCATTGTAACTCTCAAACAACTTAAACTTGTTTCTGTTCATTTCTTTTTTTATCAGTACTCTATTGTTCTCTTTATCCATGAAGTTGTGTATTTACAAAAGTTTTGCTGAGTCGGGGAATGGGCATGATAAATAGACTACTGCTTACACCAAGATATAAAAGGGATTACAGGTTTTCCCTGAGACTGTTCATGATTATTATGAGTAACATTATGTTTGATTTTTCTGCAATGTGATGAATTTCTTGTGTGTACATCTAGGTTGTTGATGGAGTCTTGACTGAAGATGGAGATGCTCTCATTTATGGCGCTCAAAATGTCTACAAAGGATTGTTCAAAGAGAGTAATAAGGTAATACAGTAGTCTCCGCCTAAGATCCCAGTGCTTGGGAGCAAGGAAATGCGGGATTTTAGGCGAACCGGGATCTTATCGACGAACCCAGGGAAGAATCTATGGTGACTCATGCTAAGGCTCACAATCGGTAAAATGGTCTCCCTCCGCTGTAAAATGAACTGACGTGACCCCTTGGTGGGTTTATGGCATATGGCGAGCAAAGAGTGGTTAACCTTGATGACCTATCGTAGTGCATAGTGACATGAGGCGTGCCATTTTTACTTATTATCCTGTCATGAGTCTCAAGATATACGCTTATCCAGTTGCCCCTCCCCTTTACCTGTCGAAAATGTATAGCTTTTCATCTCTGACCGAGTCCCCCCTCCCCCCAACCGCCTTTGTGGTTACACACCATTATGTTGTGAACACACCAATTAAAATTCAGTCTGTCTCGCAAATTCGGGAGTAGAGACAACTGCAGCAATCGTGTGGGTTCACGGTTCCATGTGATCCCACCTGGAGTGAACGTGTAGGCCCTACCCACCCAGCGAGTGATGTAAGTTTAGAGGGAGAACTCAGGTGTTAGTGCGATGCGTGGGGAAAACAAACGTGTCGGTCAGTTCATACCTCGGTGTGATCCCGTCTGGGGCAAACATTGCATCGCTTCATAGAGTTTTAAACGTGTATGTGATCACATTCACGATAGTGGCTGATCTTTGACGCGACGGACAGTTTATTGATCCCAACTTTTCACTCTTGGTTGATCGGCTGTGCCCGCCCGGGTTTATGTTCTGCAAATTATGATCTGAAATGCGGGATCTTAGCTGAATGTAGACCTTCAGAATGAATCAGAGCGGGATCTTAGGGGTGACTTTTGTATAGTAAAAATTCTGTTTTCTTAAAATAGTGAGACCTTAAGCGAACCGGGATCGTAAGCGGTGGGATCTTCGGCGGAGACTACTGTATGTGTTAGCATGATTTATTGTAGTACTTTTGTACTGACTTTAATGCTTCCGGAAATATAGTTTTACTGGGCTTTCTATGGTATTTATTTCATTGATTTAATTTTGACTACCGTGACCATCCTTCTAATCTGACCCCTCATAATGAAATTTTACCCCCTATAACAAACTCTAATATATATATAAGCTCAGATTATTTGTAGTTAAAATATTCTTCATCTAGTGAATAAACTCCCAATAAGAGAGACCTGTTTTCTGCAATTGCCGAAAAGTAATTTGATGTTGAAGTCATCGTAAAGGAATGCGCCCGAGCCGGCTGACCGGCTCAGGGGTTCCTGACCGGGAGCGGCTTTCTGGAGATAAAGAGTTAATGTGGCTCTTAAATTATGGCCTAGAAATTTTTTTATCTAAAATAAAAGCAACTTTTTGGCAGAGAATTTTTACTTTGTGCTTGTGCATCAAGAGGAGAAAGTGAACCTAATGTGCTCTTCATTAATCACATCTGCTAGTGTTCTCATGACGTTAGAGTTCGAAGGGGGCTCTCGTGGCCTAGAGGTTAAGGTGTTCGCCTCTCATTCAAAGGTCCCGGGTTCGAATCCGGGTAGCGACCAAAAAATTTTCTTCTCTAAATTTGTCTCCTTTCACCTCCTTTCCTACTCTCTAGCAATGTTCTGTCGTCTGCTTTCGTCTCCTCTTTCTGCCCCCCACCCCTTCACCTCCTTTGCCCCCTCCTCTGGGCTCCTGATTCTTTCTGCAGCCTTTCTACTGCTACTCATTGGCTTTTTCTTACTGCTGTCTTTCAGCCACACCCCTGATCTTCTGGTAGGAAAGATCTACACCTAGCCTTCTCGGACAAGGGCGAAAAATCTCGGAGGTCCGGTGTGCAATTTTGCATGTTAAAGATCCCTTGGTGGTCTAAAATCGATAAGAGTAGGCTTCGGCCGCCACCCGGGCAAAATTAAAAATTTCCTACCAACTGAAAAAGTTTAGTGTGTCCCGCGCACTCATATGACCTTATGCAGTTGCGAGCGCCGTAAAACACTTACAAAAACAAACAGAGTTCGAGGGGCAATAATAATAGTACATGTAAGGACAATAATAATAATGATATTACCTGGCATTTATACAGTGTATTTCCATAAATCTTATTAATTTCAATACGCTTTACAAAACATATACATTAGTAGCCTATACATGCAGTATTCACGAATAAGGGCATTCATGTACATAATGCAGATATAAAATGACACTAGTATATTTATGTGTCCCTGCCGGTCAATATCTGTCATATGAAGGAAATTTCAAATCTGAGTTAACATTATATTCAAAACCTATCTCCTTTTCCCTACAATTTAAAACAAGAATGAAGTAAATATGACCATATTTGACGAAAATACAGAACTTTTAATTGTGCGAGATGAGGAAACACGAAAAGAAGAAAATGGCCACCGTATTTGAGCAACATGTTTCCATAGTAATGGGGGTCTTAGAATTGAGATAGAGACTTGAAATTTAGCAGGTATCTTGGCTATGCCACTACAAGGTAATATACAAAAGTAGAAAACTATTCATTGTCAGATAAAAAACTTTTGGACAAAACAAAATATTTGCGAGAATGGACTTCACGTCAAATGCAACAAAATATTAGCATTATACTAGGTATCAAATACTAAATTTTCAAAGTAGCTGTATGTCAAATTCATCTGTTTCTTGTGAAAGGCTTATGTCTCCTGAGAAGTTTGGTACCATACTTTTAAGAGAATGCAGCTGTTTCAATTTAACATAATAATCTAAATATATTGCTGAAATCGGTAACTGGCTGAAACCCCATGTTTGACAGATAATAAAAGCTCTTTCTATTGGTACCTTTTTTAGCCGGTATTTTACACATTTCGTGTTAAAAATTATCTTTGAAAACTTAGACGCTTTATTTCAAGGTTTTGTATCAAAGCGCCAAAAGGCAAAAATAATAATCATGGGAAACCACGCCCAAAGCTGTATAGTTCTCCGCCAATGAAAATGCGGCATTTAATCATCAATCTTTCTGTAAAGCATTCGAATGCATGGGTGTCAATTTTGAACCGGGAGACCTCGCGTTCCGACCTTTCCAAGGCGATTCTCCAGCTCCAAATACTCGGATATAATACAAACAACTTACTCTATTGTAACGAAGAAAATCTGAATTTTTTCAAAGTGTTCAGCATTTGGTGTTTCATAACAAAAGAGCAAAGAAACAGAGATCTGAATTACCCCCATTTCACCGAAACCACGCGCTTGGAAGGCAGCGAGTCGGCTTATGTGCCATGTTTACGCAACCTAATTATACGTTTGCAATAGCACCATAAACACACGAGAGCACACGCACGCACACACACACACACACACACACACACACACACACACACACACACAGACACACACACACACACACACACAGACACACACACACACACACACACACACACACACACACACACACACACATACGCACACACTCGCACACACACACACATACATATACAAACCCACCATGTTTTGAATGTGGAAGAATGGAGCCAGCATGGTAGGGAAGTACAGGGTATCCAAACTAAAGGTGGCGACATCAGATGGAATGTGTTCAACATCTATCCTGAAATAACCAGTTGGTTCATGAGAGGGACTGGAATTTTTTGTGTGATCTTGCAGAGATGCCGGGTGAACGCACAATTATCTGCGGGGACTTTAACGCGAGAGCAGCAGAGTGGGGCAATGCAACAGAGAATGGACAAGGAATAGCACTTAGAGAAACACTGTTAGAGATGCCACTGATTTGCATAAACGATGGAAGACCTACTAGACTGGCAACGAGACCGGGAGATTCGGATGGGGTTATAGATCTGGCTTTGGTGTCATCTGGGGCTACTCTCTACACAAAGTGGGACGTTTTAGGGCGACACGAAAGTGATCACCTTCCATGCATTGTGATGATCGAAAAGGGAAGCTGCAGACCACTAAGAAACAAGTGCCGAATGAAAGCTTTTACTTACAAGAAAGACAATGATGCACCCCTAGGAAAGCTGCGAAGTGAAGTATCCCGAAAACCGAATATGAAACAGATTATACAACCACCATGGTGGACCGAGGAATGTGAGGAAGCATGGAAGAGGAAAAGGCAAGTGGTCAAAAAGTGGCAAAAACTTGGTAAGGACAACACCAGTGAGCAACACATCATCCAGGAAGCTGCCGAAACAAGGAACAGGAGATGTGTGGATTTTAAGGAAATAGCCAAAGGAGTGAAAAAAGAAAGGTGGGAGAAATTGGTCTGGGAAATCGGACAAGACAAAGATTAACAAAAAATTTTAGAAGTTACACAATAGAATGAACTACGGGCGCACAGCAAACTCAATGCCAGATATCTAGAGCATTGATGGAATGGCTATTCTGAGAGATGATGCTAGCAAAGGAGAAGCCTTTCTTAAAAGATACATCACACAGACTGATCAGGGTGATGCTGAGACGAGGACAGAAGTATGCCAGAGTTTGAAGGGAATCATGAGGAACGAGGGATATGACTACATCATCACAATATATTTTGTCAAATCTGTCCTAAAAACCACCAACAACACAATGCCAGCTCCAGATGGGATACAGTACAAACACTTTAATGAGCTCAGTGACGAGGAACTGGAAAATATTGTGGATGACTACGACAGCAGCATCAGGACATCAACTGTACCAGAAGAGTGGCTGCATAGTAACTTAAAGCCACTACCAAAACCTGGGAAGAATCACAAAGAACTCTACGGATACCGCATTGTCACCATGCAAAATGTGTATGGAAAAGTGCTAGAAAAATGCATAGCAAGAATACTTATGAATGAGCTAGAGAACAACGGGAACCTACCTGAGGAGTTAGGGAGTTACAGACCCAGAAAGGAAACTTGGAACAACACAGGGACCTTCGCGTATGATGTATATGAAGGCTTTCAGAGAGGAGAAGAGATGGAGTGGTGTGCTGAATCAACCGCAGTGATCAATCCTCAGAAGGCCGCAGCACTGTGGTGCTCTTTAAACAATCGAATAGTAAAGACAGATGTCCCAGAGCTGACGGTAAATGGACAGAATATTCAAAGATGTCAGAAGATGCGGTATCTGGGAGTGGTTTTCGATCGCCTTCTATCCTTCAAAGATCACATAGATGGTGTTGTGGAAAGGGAAAAGAAGGGATTGAATGCAGTGAAGGTCATGGCGGCTTCAGGAATGGAACAAAGGCTACTGCTTCTTATGTATCAGCAGCTGGTCTTGGCAGTTATCGATTATGGGCTCAGAGTATTGACCTTGACAAAAACCCAACTGGACAAATTGGATCGAGTTCAAAATGAAGCCATACGCATCATACTAGGCTGCATCAGGGATACGCCAGTTATCTGTATGAAGCATGTATTGGACCTCATGTCAGTGGAAAACAGACACAAAGTGGCTCAGGTCAGGGCGTACATGAGGGTGGCGGCTGATAAGCAACACCCACTTCACGAAGCCATTGGAGCAATCAAGGGAAATCGCCTAAAACGAGGAGCTTCTTGGACGGCTAAGGCTGAAAACTTCATCAAGGAAGTCTGCCCACTGGAAGATATAAAGCGGGACGAAGAATGAATAAAGATGAATGAGAGACAGCAGGGAGATTTTGGGAAGGTAGTGATTACGCCGAACAGAGAATGTAGAGAGTGACCGCAGGGGGCGACAGATGTTGAGATAGGACAACTGATTGAAGAAAACTCACGGCACGGAGATGTGGTTGTATACACGGATGGATCTGTTAAACGAGAGGAAGAATCTGGATGGTGCTTCTCAGCAAGAGTGAGTGGCAGATTGGTGCAGGAACAGCAGAGAGCATACGATGTGACAACATCTAGCATGAGAATGGAAATAGAGGCAATCACTAAGGTTCTCAAATGGGTCACAACAACTCGACAAGCACATGTGATCTTTGTCACAGACTCTCAGAGCACTCTGAGGAAGATTGAGAGTGGGACCCTTAGAGCTGAATGGACAGAGCTCCTGAAGAAGACAACACGGAAAAAGATCACGTGGATCTTCACCCCGGGCCATGCTGGAGTCAAGGGCAATAAGCGGGCTGATGAGCTCGCTGGAAAAGCAAACCTGAAGGGAAGCTGTGCCCTGACAAACCTGAAATTGTACGTGCAGTCAGGGAAAAACGAGAAAAAGAACACGAAGAGTCGGAATACCATCATCTCGAGCGACTTCATGAGCTTGGAATCGGATGGGGCGCCTGCAGAAGTTCAAGACTTAGTGGGAGGAGCAGAAGGCTATGGAATCAGCCATTGCTTGGAACTGTCAGCATCTACACACTTCGAGATGTGCTTCTTCAGGGGACGGAGCGCTTATGGGGATGCCCCTTGTGCAGTGATGTCGGTCCTTCACACAAGTAAACAAGTGAACAAACCCACCAGCACTCATACTCGTACATGCACATAGACCGCCTCGGTGGCCTCTTGGTAAGGAGCCCGCTTTGATAGATCTAGAGGAAGGTTAATTAATCTTTTAAAAGCACTAAAACACAGTAAAGACGAATTTTTAAAGTCAATCCAGATGTAAAACTGAAAGATCAACAGATGATAACAACTAACAGGGCATGCCCACACAGTCAGCTGTTTATGTAAACAAGCTTGAAGTTAGCTAGAAGTATGCAAGGTGCGGAAACACAAAAATGAGAAAGGGGTCATAAAATTGAAATAGAGACTTGAAATTTGGCTGTTATCTTGGCTAGGTCACTACAATGTAACACATCGAAGGAGAAAACTATTCATTCACAGAATAAAAGTCTATGAGCAAAACAAAATTTTTACGAGAATGGTCTTCACGTCAAATACAACAACGGGTTAGCATTGTAGACCCTTTACTAGGTACCACAAGCTAAATGTTCATAGTAGCTGTATGTCAAATTTATGTTTCATATGAAAGGACTGTGTCTCATGTGAATTTTGGTACCTTACTTTTACCACTCAGTCAATTTTTAAGAAAATGACAGCTGTTTTAATTAATTATATAATCAAATATTGCTAAATTCGCTAATTGGTTGCAACCCCATGTTTGACAGATAATAAAAGAGTACCAAGTGCACCAAACATCTCCACATTAACAGCGTACAATCACTATAACATAGAAATGGAGCCTAATTTTTTTCAAGACTGAGATCATTACAAATCAGTATTTTATTGCCTCAAACACGATGATATGTCGTTATTTTGATTTTAAAAAAGACACCGAGCACTATCCGGCCCGGTGCGGTGAGCGAGTTGGCTCTAACTATAGTATACTCAAAGATTCTCCAATCTTTCGTATACTGAGTGCTCCCCGGAGTTTCGCGGAAGGATTGATGCAAAATAATTCCAAGCCGATGACTTTATTCAAATAGAAAAAGAACAGCTCTATCTATTGGTACCTTTTTGAGTCAGTATTTTATATAATTCGTGTTAAAAATGATCTTTGAAAACTTTTACGCTTTTATACAGGCTGTCTATTTAAACGTCAAAGGCCAAAAATATACCACGGGTAACCCCGTTCAAAGCTCTAAAGAAGTTGTTTGCCAATGAAAAGACAGCATTAAACTATCACTCTTTTTTCAAAGCATTCAAATGCATGAGTGTCAATTTTTGAACCGGCAGTTCTTGCATTCCGACCACGAGGGGCTTCGCCTTCCATGGCGATTCTCTAGCTCCAAATACTCAGAAGAACAAACAAATTACACTATTGTAACGAAAAAAAAGCTTAACTTTTTCAAGGTGTACAGCTTTTGGTGTGTTTAGCAAAAGAGCTAAGAAAATTCGATCTGAATTACCTCAATTTCACCGGAACCATGCGCTCGGGAATCCGCGAGTCGGCTTACGTGCCGTGTTTAATTGTACGTTTGCAAAGGCACTTAAAACACATGAGGGCTCACACACACACACACACACACACACACACACACACACACACACACACACACTCACACACACACATATACACTCTCGAATACACACATACACACACACATACAAAAACATACACACACACATGCACATAGACTGCCTCGGTGGCGTTTTGGTAGGGAGTTCACCTTGGGAGATCAATCTTTTAAAACCCCCCCACTAAAACACAATAAAAACAAACTTTTAAAATCAATCGAAGTGTAAAACTGAAAGATCAACAGCCCACAACTGAGCTTACAGGGCACGCTTACACAGTCAGCTGTTTACGTAAACAAGCTTGAAGTGGGCTAGGAGTTCCCGTTCTTACCCCACCCAATCGGAGCTCTCAACGTTCATAGTGACGCAAATTTGTTTATATTTCATACCGTTCATGCTCGAAAAGAGGTCTAAATCTAAAAATAGGGGCGAATGAAGAACATTGAAGCAATGTGACCATGAGGTAATGGTTCTATAAATAATCTCACAGTTACACACCAGCAGGTCAAATGTTCGAAAGGGTTTGAGGTCCAAATTCCTTTATCTTGTCACCCAAGCTCACAACAAATCACACACACTTCCAAAAGAAATCTTTCAATAGATCCGACAAAAAAATTCATTGAAAATCACTTTTTAGGCTTTCGAGCCTCGTAGCGCCAAATAGCACATTGCGTCTTACGACTGATTATATGACCGGGGCGGACAGATATATATGTCAAAGGACTTCAATATATTGGTTAGAGCCCTAGGTTACTATGAAAGTAATGTCAATGTGAAATTAATTGAAGCAGTCTAGTAGTCTAATGCCCACACCGAAATAGATGGGGCTGACAGGTTACTGGCAGGACACGTGGTCTGTAAAGAGAGTAGGTGCAGGGCCAACAGTCTCAGGCTCCAACTGAATTGCTGTCAAAACACGAGAGAGGGGGCTCTCGTGGCCTAGAGGTTAAGGTGTTGGCCTCTCATTCAAATGTCCCGGGTTTGAACCCGAGTAGCGACTGAAAAATTTTCTTCTCTAAAATTGTCTCCTTTTACCTCCTTTTCTGCTCTCTAACAATGTTCTGTCGTCTGCTTTCGTCTCCTCTTTCTGCCCCCACCCCCTCACCTCCTTTGCCCCCTCCTCTGGGCTCCTGACTTTTTCTGCAGCCTTTCTACTGCTACATCTTGGCTCCTTCTTACTGCTCTCTTTCAGCCACCCCCCTGATCTTCTGGTAGGAAAGATGTACACCTAGCCTTTTCGGACAAAGGCAAAAAATCTCGGAGGGCCCGTACGCAAGCAAGTTGCACACGTTAAAGATCCTTTGGTGGTCCAAAATCGATAAGAGTAGGCTTCGGACGCCACCCGTGCAAAATTCAAAATTTCCTACCAACTGAAAAAGTTTAATGTGTCCCGCGCGCTCATATTATTATGACCTTATGCAGTTGCGAGGGCAGTTAAACAATTACCAAAAAACCCCCCAACAAAAATACACATGAGAGTTTTTGCGTGATCTCAAGTGATCTCCCTTACCCCAAGTCAGGGGCCATATTCTGCCTGGCACTACTTAGATCTACCTTTCGTTTTCTGAGACAACGTGTGAGGTCATGGAGGATTCTACTGGAAGGATTTTATTGAAACTCCAAAGTGTATAATCTGTCGTGAAGTACATAGAGAGAGAGATGGGGTAGGGGGAGGGGGGCCAGGCGGGCCCTAATGTTGCACTGCCACTGAATGCATGACTGTATGCAGGGCTTTAAGAAGTGACGGGTATATATAGAAGCAAATCGGGATCATTACCAATATATTAGATGCCAAGTAGACCAGGAAAGTGCTATAGCTTTTAAAAGTAGAGGTGATTGAAAACTATAGTAAGCAAATTTTGCAGTAATACTTTTTTACAACTTTGGCTGCTTTTGTCAATGGTGTAGAAACTGCTATAGCTAGAGTATTCAGTATATAGCTGCTTTGCTATGGTATTAAGGGAACTTTTTGTATTATAGAATTGTGTGCATGTTTATCTTATTTGCTTTAACATGGTCTTATATTTTCAGGAATATACAGCAACAAAGTATTCAATGTCTGACATCACCGCTCGGCTTGGACTCACGCAAAAAGACTTAATTGCTTTTGCGCTACTGAGCAAAGGAGACTTTTGTGATGGAGTGCCAGGAATTGGAAAGAGCAAATTTATTGACCTTGTCAAGGAAATGAAGAAAAATAATGTTGAAGATGTTTTAGACAGGTGAGAGGAATTTCAGGGCTTAAAAAAATTGTTACCAATGAAAAATGCTTCTGCAACTTTTTTTTTATTGTAGAAGTATAAGATTACAGTTCTGATGTTAAAAGTAAAAACCAACATAATTGGGGGATACTTAAACATTGAGTCTGGTGGTCATTTTGATGGCACAGTTTTTGGCTATTGACCATATATAAGTTTTAGTCAGCAATAGGTTTATGATGATGCTAACTTAATACAATGCTTTGAAAACAGCATCTGGATTCACCAACAGCCAAAGGCACCAGCACATCTTATATATTTTATCTCAGGGAGACAAACGTGCTAGAGTGGAATACCATATGAACAACAATTAGTACTAAGAATGTGCACACTTTAGTTTTATTCTGTATTTTTTTTTTTTTTTAAACAAATCTCTGTACATGATAGAAAGCAAAGCATGCATGGTCTCAAGGGTGTTTTCTTTCTCTGAACTTTTCTCTTGCCTGTAATGCTGAACGTAGTAAAAGAATTGTTTGTGGTATTTACAATTGTAACCGCCCTCAAGCATCTTCTATGAATTCTTCTAATTCTATGTCTGTTCTTTGTAAAATACAGAAGGAAACTATAATGTGTTGATTTACTTGGTCCCTGGGTTATGTTGATCCTGAGGCTGATACATTGTATTATCTTTTTGAACTCCAAATAGTGAGAACTTTGTCAATAAGGCAGTCTCATTGTGGTTCTGAGAGATGTAGTTGATATGGCTCTGCCAACACTAGATATAATCTCGTGGCAGCATCATTTGTGTACTGATTGATGAGTTAAAAAAATCTTTACAAAATATTTCTGCAAAATTGCTGTAAAAAATATCCATGCCAAAGTCATTGCTTATCAGAATCACTGGACACATGTATTATTGACAGCACTATGGAGGAGCATTTTAGGTGTTTAGCAAAGGCAAAATGTCTCAAATACCATGTTATTTTGTTGTGGTGATGCGTCTATCCCTTAATGATATGCATCATGCTGCAAACATAATAATACGTTTTTTTGATAGTTGTATCACGTCTTTAAAAAATTTTTGTTCTCACTCCTGAGAAATCATATACATGATATGAGAATAAGTATTGGGCCAAAAATAAGACACATTATTTTTTTGCATAATCTGTTGAAACATGTTTCCACTGACATGTAATAATCTAATAAAATATGCGTATTCTTATATTCATTAAGTTGTTTTGACACTCTGATTTTTGTTCTTACCTTGTCTGCCATGTTCCAAGTTTTCTTTTCTCTTTCCATTTTGTGTATGTATCCATATAAAGGCTCTTGTTGTGGAAAGACAATGAAAGGCTATCTGCCCTTGAAGACTTGCAAAGATCTTTGAAAGGAATACGCAAATCCAAGCATTGTACTAAATGCCATCATGAAGGTTTGTTGTCTTGTTTTATTTTATTGCTATCATTTTCCATTTATAGTTTAATTTCACACCTGTTTTTGCATTTATCTTATAATATCAAACAAAAAGGCAGCATTCTACCAACAGTGTAACTACAGATGTGTATGAGAAAATGTTGCAGTCAAGATTAATTAACCACAATTGTAAAATTATCCTTAAAACCAAAGCCTATATTTGTTCTTATTTATGCCCTCTTTACAATAGTTTTCAGTGTGATGGCAACAGTCATGTATTGTGTGTGAGACTTGGTTTAAGTGTAATAACTCTTTAAACCCAGTTTTTCTTTGGTCTACCTCTTCATATTCTTAATTAGGAATTGGAAATTAGAGATTGTACTTTTTAATGCTTGATGCCACTGTTGAAATCTATCAAAGCTCTAGAAAGACAGTTTGAAGGGAAGGGCATTCAAAAGAAAACAATGCAAGGAAATGCATTTTTACACATGTATGCAAAAAGAGTTGAAAATGAAGAACAGGCTGCAGCATGACAGTTATGGGTCACATACTTGCTTTCTCTTTCTTTCTTTCAGAAAGTCGGAGGAAGGGGTGGGGGATGGGGGTTGTGTTCTTCCTGACAACAATATATGCCAGCATACACACTACTCAAAAATAGCATATATACTACTGTGCTGTAGAGAAGCTCAGTACCCGATTTCAGTCGCAGTAATAATCGACATTTAAGTTTTAAAGATTTGGCAAGGAAATTCAAACAACATATTTTAAATTTTGGACTTAAGCTATATGTAGCAGTGATATTCTAATGAGAGTTCTGAAGCACAGACACAAGGAGCTTACACTTGCCACTTGGACTTAAAGAATTAAGACTAGAGATTTTCCTTATTCATCTGTCCTGTTTGTTAGATTCACCTCTTTAGGTAAAGTTAGGACAGCATTATCTTTTATAATGATGTCTTTTGTTTGACTAATACTCATATTCAATTTATATAAAAAGAAATGTGCTTTTGTGTTTCTTACATCAATTTTTTTAGCCTTGTCTCTTTTGTGCTTAATTTTTAATAATTTTCAATCATCAATATGTTTCTTTGTACTATTCCAGGGCTGATGTCTGCTCATGGAAAATCAGGATGTGAAACCTGCCAGCTGAATGTTGATTGCAGAGAAAGAAATGAGTGGAAGGCAGAGAGCGGAGAGAAGTATCCGGAGTGCCCATGTAATTACCACAAGAAGGAGGCTGAAATAATGCCGTATCAAACAGAACTGAAAATTCGTGCTACGGCTCTTTCAGTTAAACAGTTCCCGGAGCAAGGGGTGAGTCTTCAGTCTAAAAGCTTGTCAGTAGTACTCAATAGTCTTTGTGAGGGACAAGATCATAATTGGTGCTATGTCATGCTTTCATTGTGTCATCTTTTTTGAGGACTTGCTTAACTGCATGAAAGTCATGTCTTTTCTTTGTTTTCTTTGTTCTGGATTTACACATTCATCCAAAAATTTTTTTTCTGTGTTTCCAGTCAGGTCATATAGACAGAGGAAAAGTAATTACATGTTAAAATTTTTATCTCTGGTTATAAATCGAACATGAGGAATTCTGTGAGAATTTCATTGAAAATGTGTTCATAGTTTTCTTTTTAGAAGGTGCCAGTCTTATGATGAAACTTCCTTTTTTCTGTATTTTTCTTCTTCAGGTTAAAGAAGAATATTTGAATTGCATTCAAGATATTAGAGGTGAATTGAACACGACAATGCAATTGCCAGACTTCAAAGCGGTGTGTGACAGAATGTCAGGAAACTTTCCATCAGCAGCATCGACATTATCGCACATGCTTCCTGCCTACACCATGTTAGCTTTGCATGGAAAGTTGGCAGATATGGAGATAAAACCTTTGAGGTAAAAGGCTAGATTCTTTCAACAATTTGAAACTTGCACTATTATAATATATACAATCTTTATAAAAAGAACTTTTGAAGTTTCTGAAAGCAGGATCTTATAGGTTTTCATTTGCAGGATGAAGCTTTTTATGTTGTCTTCGTTATTGTCACTGCACTAGCAAAATTGCATAACTCAAAGTTGTTCCAAAATGCAACTAGCTTTCTTTTTTGTTTGATGGTACTATATCTATCTCGTGGTAAAGCCAAAACAAAGATGTGCTGGCAGTCACAAAAGAAACATACATGGCAAGTTTTACCATTATTAGATAATAAAGTCTAGTTAAATAGTTTTGTTTTCATTTATCTCAAATTAGCAAAAATGAGATGTATCATTTTGCTAATGCAGTGACTATATATATTGTGTTTGTGTTAAATACAGTTTCATATACATTCATACTTAACCCTTGCACCTATGCTCCTTTGAGTTGACTGCTCGATTTGTACCACTGGACCGGATGTGTGCATTCTTTGCCAGTTACAAGCTAAAAAAGCAGTGCTCGCTTAAGTGTGTGTTAGGATACAAAGGGTTAAGCTTTGATTATTGAGCTGACGGACTGACTTTAAATGTTATAGTATAGCAAAAAAGTTCAAGTTCACAATGTACATTAATATCATGACTTCAACCTTTTAAGAATGTTTTAAAAAGAATACTCCACGCACTGCCTGCAGATTCTTTTTAAAATATACATTTATTTGGTTTTATCCTTTATCTTTATTCTTTCTCTTTCTTTTCTTATCACAAACATTACTTGCCCTTGCATTTCTGGCCTCCCCATCTCTGCCCATTGCTGTTTATATGATCTTTTGTTCTTAAATTTTGTTTGCAATAGATGCTAAATAAAGACATTTTTCTTTGTCATTTAATCTCTCCCAAACATTTTAGAATTTAGAAAAATACTTTTTTTGTTGGGTATGAATTCAGTTGATCGTTCATAGGTGATCAGGCATTATGTCTTGAATTTTAGTTGAAAAATAATGATCTTGTCATTTTATTGTTCATTGTTTTCCTGGCTTATTTAATTTTTTTTTTCTGTGCTTCGGATGTGAACTAATCTGTTGTGAGTAAATTTGGAGTATATTGTATTTCATCTCCAGTATTATCAAATCTTGTGTGAAAAACTTCAGACCACAGTTCAGAGTCAACTGGGAAAAATCAGGTATTACTTTATTATTTATTTAAAAAAAATTAAAGTTGAGGGTTTTACTTTGACTTGGCATCATGTTCTTTAAAAAATTAATTGTGACAGGGTGTTCTTTCTCCATAACTGCTGCCTCTTCTATCAATGAAATCTTGACTCTTAAATAAATTGAATAAAGAAAAATAAGATATTTTTTCATCCTGATGGAACTGTAGGATCAGGTAAGGACTGGAAGCTTGGAGTTACCAATTCACTTTACAAACAGAAATGAACTTAATTAGACTTAAACAATGACATAGCGTTGTCCCCTGAAGGATAGTGATTACACAATGATCAGTTGAACCAATAAAAAAAACCTTTAGAAAATAATGTGCCTTATAGTGAAATGACTAATATTTTATGTTAGTAGAACCATACATATGTTAGGGTCACTCTTATTAAGGGGAACTTAGACTTTCCAAACACTTTGGAACGAAATTTTGTTATCATAAAAGTCATTTCCTCCCTGTCGGATTTAGCTTCTTCTAGTAAAAACAAAGATAGTAAATAACAAGATGGGCCACTCAGCCAAAAAAGTGTCTGCAGGAAATATGCTCTTTGCTTCAGATGGCGCTGCAGTCTGTTTTGAAGCTCTCTTTCGTTTTTCCAGAAGAAGAATAGGAATAGCACCTCCTTGCGTGCGCAGATCAACTGCTGTTCATCAGCAGTTCAGGTTCGTTCAGTACGGAGTTTCAGTTTTAAAAAATTTTAATGACCTCTCGCCTTTCATTCTAAAGTTAAATTAAACGAAGAAAACAATCACCCTTTCCTCCTGAAGAGGTTTTTTGTCAGCGTAACCATTTTAAAAAAGCTTTCTTCCGAAATTCATTCAAAAAATTGCTAGTTTCACTTTGATTTTTTAAACTCAAGTTGGATAACTCTGTTCGCTAAAGGTGCGCTTTTGCGAAGAGGGCGACACTGAATTTTGAGGACACTTTTTTAATTGGCTCAAAGAGAGAAGTGGCCCCTCTTGTTATGTAGACTCTTTGGTAAAAACGAACACTTGATTTTGGCTGATCAAGTTTGAGCAGCAATGCCATGAAATTTGACCACTATTCTCTACTCATTTTATCATATCTTACAAGATCAGGAAAGTTTTGCAAAAGTTTACAGTGGCTGTTTCATGCAAACTTGTAGGTTGCGGTTTCTTGTACGGGTGGACAGGCAAGATTGTGTCAAACCAAATGCTGCCCTTTGGGCCTAGAATACTCTGAATCTTTTGTTCGTCACTGAGCACTGAACTGCCAATGATTACACGATAGCCTACTTCACACTAAAAGCTCTGTCAATAAAGAAAGCATAACAAATTTCCAGCCTCTTTTATTCCTTCAATTATAGATAGGCTACTATAGTGGTGTGTTAATGTTACGTAGCTTACGCAACTCTCACAAATAGATTACACCTATTCTCTTTTGATCCCAATTCAGACCCTTTGTTTGCAACTTTGTGTAAAGTTTGGGATGAACTGACAGAAAATTATGTCCCAGATTTGATTAAGTCCATGCCCTATTCAAAACCAATGACTCCTAAAACAAAACAATAATGAACACATTTACTGTTAAGTCCTAGTTTTGCGTGATATTTGTGACTGGCCTGTTTTCCAATCTGTTTGGAACTATCGTAATGCAGAGACAAAATTCTGCATTCATTTGATATACAATATATATTTCTTTGATTTCGCACAATTTTGCCAAGTCTGATTGTATAACAGGGATGGTGGGACCAGAGAAAAAGTCCTGTTAAATCAGAAGTGCAAGGGAAGTTAGCATTTGTGGACTAATAGAGCTGTATTTATTTATGGGTAGTTTCCCATGGCCTGCACATGACACATTATGTGTGCGTGGCTAGATCGAAGTCTGCAGCACACTTCACCGCTGAGTGTGCTTGCAGTGGCGTGGCTTGTGTGCTCTCTCTCTCTCTCTCTCTCTCTCTCTC